GTGTGATTAGTAGTTGGGTTGATCAAATAAAATGCGGCTGCGTGTTTCAAGATATCAACATCCATACATTAAATTTAAACATCAAGGAAAAAAATCAAGCTCAGTGAACATTAATAATATATTGTATTAACAATGGTATACAAATTTCAACAATAAGTACAAAGAAAGTTGCTTCCCTTTTTCCGTAATAAAAAAGGGTAAGTTTAGCTAATAAATGTTGAGTACAAAATTGAATGTAATTTAACTGCAAAGTTCAATTGAAGTCTTAGCTAAATACAGAATAGTTCCACAGTGTTTTATCAGTGTAGAAAGATGTAATGTTCATGAGTGATATCAACAGGAATTAGTATGATTACTCGAATGAGTAATAATTAAGAATTAAAATGTCAATATAGCGCCGTGCCTTATTTTCCAAGAATTGAACTGCAACTGGTCTTTTGGTTGATAGTGAGATTCTTTTATAACGATGGGTAGGCTCCGGATAGCTTAGCGCCAAAAATATAGAAAAGATACTAAAATATGCAATTGGTCAGGAAATGGACCAATCCGTGATTTTAGAGAAAAATTTGAATTACTTGCGATGGTTAAATTGTCCTATAATAAGTATCATGTATTTATTAACCAATGAGAATTGGAGAAAATGTAGGCGTGGCACTACAAGACTAAGGTAAGTCAATTTATGTATTATGAATGCTGGATAAAATTAGCATTTTTGATCTTCACTGGATGCTGTATATTATAGCCCAGCACTGTACTAAACTAAATTTAAGTATTACTAGACATTTTGGTTAAAATGTGATAGATTGAACATTACTGCATGCTCAATATTGTAGACTTGTATCAGATTAGGTGAATTTTAAGCATTATGCATTGTAAATGCTATTTTCCTTAAATGTTGGGGTTACCAATGTAAATGGTGTTTTGTTGAAAAGATTAATGTGGCTGTGTGTTGAAGAGCATTCAACATTTATGCATTTTTTTAAAATCAAGGAAAAACAATAGAAATCTGATTTGTGTTTCAACAATAAAATATATATTAAAAACAACAAATACAAGGTAATTTTTGTAATGTGTGAATAAGGAGAAAAAAGTATTTTCCCTTTATCTGTTAGTTGAATTAGGAAATGTAATTAAGCAAGTTTTCTGAATAGAATGTTCAAAGTTCTGTATTGAAATAAAATGTGTATTCAGAAGAACATACAGTAAGTTCAATTGTATATTTTGTATAACTAACAGAGCTGTTGCAACTTGGCTTGTTCACAAAGAACTGATGGTGAATGATATTCAAGTTCTGTGTCTGTGTGCGTGCGGAGTGAGTAGAATGAATAGTCTGTGTAGACGTGTGTGAGTAGTTGAGTTCTACTGTCATCAACTGTCTTCAACTCTACTGTTTAATTTGAGAATGTATCCAGACTTATATTATTATCGGTAGGCTCCCAGCACGAACGCGGGATAAATTGTGAAAGAACACGAAAAATATCTGATTGGGTGAAAAATTAACCAATCGGTGATTTTATAGCAAAATCATGTTTGTGAGTTAACGGTAGGTGAATGCGATCAGTAAATTGTCCTGTGATATTTAGTATTTATTATTTGACCAATCACAGTTGAGAAAAATGTAGGCGTTGCAAACATAGTAGTAATCACTACAGCATGTTGCTTAAAATGACTGAGTTTGGTCCTCACTGGATAATCCATATTGTGACCTTGAACCAATCTCAGAAATTGAGCATTTAGCACTCTACCTTATTTATAAATATAACATCTCCCTTTTCTGTCCTTGGTAAGATGATAAACTACGTCTTACAGCAAAGCCTCTGATCAGGAGGTTTTGAGGAGCGTGGAACCACTCTTCATTGCTGGTGTTCCCAAGTCACCTTGATCTGGGGTGGTAGCATCTGTTAGGGTCCCAGCTATGGGCAAATAGTTAACACCCAAACTGGAATCAAAACACTATGAAAGTGTAAAAATTTTAATACCAGAAATACATTGTAAAAATTATTATCCGCAATACATTATTACCAGCTACACAATTTTTACCAGATATACATTTTTTTTGAAAAAATATTACCAGAAATAGATTTTTGAAAGAAAAAAATATTACCAGCAATATATTTTTGAAAAAAAATTACCAGCTATACATTTTTTGAAAAGATTTTACCAGCAATACATTTTAAAGAAAAAATATTACCAGAAATAGATTTTTGAAGGAAAAAAATATTACCAGCAATAAAAAATTTGTTGGCATTAAATAACCCATTGAGATTGATAGGCCATAAAACAAACCAAACCAAACCATCCTTCTTTTATTGTATATGGAATCCCATCAAAATATAGTGTTTTATATATTGGTTCTATATATTTGAAATTGCTGTAGCCTGGCTTTTAATTTTAGTCAAGATTGTTTTAGATGTTGCCAAAGAAGGATATGACTACACAACCAAGAAATTCAAATTCATCTTGCATTGGTAGAACTAACATTTTGCTTGTTGAAAATAGTCACCTACAAAGTGCTAAAGGTTAAGTATTAGAGATGTGGGATAAAATGGGTAAAACTGACCCTAACTTGATGCTTCATATAATAACGCTGTGTCACTCTAAGGCAAATTTAAGTATTAGAAATTTTGGTTAAATTGAGTGAGCTAGGCCCTCACTGGATACTCTGTATCGTAGCCTTGAGTAAATTGCTTTATTAGGCATGTTGGATAAAATGAGCAAGCTTACCCTCACTGGGTTCTCTATATTGTTGCCTTTTGTCAGACTAAGCTAAATTTAAGTATTAGACTGTAGACGTATTGGTTAAAAATAAAATGAATGAACTTGGCCCTAACATGATACTCCATATTATAAACTTTGTGCTAAATTCAGGTAAATAAATTTCTGTATATTTAATTTCTTAGTTTCTAGGTTTTTATCTATTTCGTCGTCGTTTATTCAACTCATCTAATGATAAGTTGATTAAAATTAGTGAACTTGACACTTACTTAGGGTTGATAGATGTCCCTTATATACTGGACATGTCCTATATTGGGTAATTTTGTCCCCTGTCCCATACTGACCTTTCAGGGAAACCCCAAATGTCCCATATTTAGTTCATTTTCAAATTTCATAATAAAAATATATTTTTACTAGCTTCTTATAGTTCTTGGTTGTAACTTGATAAATAATTATACATTTTTTTGGTCAGATTCTCTTGGTGAAAACAGCCCAAAAATATAATGTGGAAACTAGTGCTGCTACAAGTTTACATAAAACTGATGTGTTTATTTCTCTGTTGTCTTCTATTAACTAAATATTTTAAATGATTTCACTTTTACAGAATTTTCTTTTTCTTAATTTTAAAATGATTTTACTTTTATTTTCCTCATAACCCATTAAAATCATTGCTTTATGTTTTTAACTTATGTTGCTCCTTTTATTGGTCTTGTATAAATTTATATATATATATATATATATATATATACATGTATATATATATTCAGTTGTATGGATATGAGTTTGTAACCCTGGGTTTTACTCTTTTACAATCATCAAACAAAGCAAAACATGAAACCCAGGGTTACAAACTCATATCCATAGAACTGAATATGTTAGCTCTATCACTGAGCACTTTCCAATAAGTACCAAGCATAGATAATATATATAGAAATTATATATATATATATATATATATATATATATATATATATCAAACATGCTTGAATTAAAATATGCTACCTAATTACACACACACACATATATAAATATTTTGAAAAATGTGACAAACTGGAAAGGCTTTTGTGTGATGCATTTCATGCAAATGAAATGTGTTACAAAACGGGAAAGGCCTTTCCAGTTTGTCATATTTTTCTAAATACTGTTTATTGATATATAAAATTATACAAAATTATATATCATTCTATCATATATGTATATATATATATATATATATACCAAGTATATAATTGGTGTATACAGAATGAATTCCAATAACCAACAATTACCATTCTTAAAAGAGTGCTCAATACAAAGTAGAGCAGATATAATTATTAAAAAAAAAAAATTTATAACATAAATATGTTAATGAATTGCAATAACCAACTATTCTTAAAAGTAGGAAACTTTTAAAACCATTTATTTTACATTCAACATCATCACTTGATAAGACACCGAGGGTGTTGAAACAAAATAGCTATATTTGTAGTGATTTTATATGTTATAAATTTAAAAAAAAATATATATATATATATATATATATATATATATATATATATATATATATATAGAGAGAGAGAGAGAGAGAGAGAGAGAGAGAGAGAGAGAGAGAGAGAGAGATTAAGAATGTCCTGTATTCCTAATTTTCTAAAACTGTCAACTACACTACCCTTACTGGAAGTTCTATATTTTAGCATTGTGCGAGATTAAGCTAATTTTCCAAAGTAGATATTGGTTACGACGAGTGAGTGAGAAACCTCACTAGGGTCTCCATATTGTATGTAGCCTTGTGCCAGACCATGCTTAGGTTAGTAAATAAATACTTATCATGTTGTAGTGGTTCGCGCGCTCGTCTTGCAGTCTATTATTATTATTTTTTTATTTAATTACAAATGAATGAATACACTAGACAGATTCCCCTCACCTCATTGCATACTTCCTCGCATGCTCACACATGACAATATAAATTTGCCTCATCTTTAAAAGAAAATGAAAGTTTTTAAATGGAATTGTCGATAAATATTATTTCCCTTTTCTTTTTATTTGAGTTAAGTGTACCTTTCTATATTCATGTCATAAGAAAAACTGAAAACAAGAGAACAGTTCTTCCTCCTTATTTTTGTTTTGAAACTTGACAATAATGCCGAGTTATAACCGGAAGTATAGAGTTATTCCCCTTGGATTCTCAAAACCAGAGGGCGCTGTTTACCTAAACGCAAAGGTGGTTGAATAGACATGTCGGACGGTGCTGTTTTGTTAGGTACTGGCCGTGGACAACGGACAAAGACGACTCCATTTTTCTTGTGATGGACACAAGATCCCCTCCAACAAACAAACGAAAGCGAGGACGCAATTTAGGTGCGGAAGATGCTCGACAGAAAGACAATGACGAAGCTTTCGGCAGCTCCCAATTGTGTGAAGTCTGCGGCGAGGTTTCGTCGGAGGGCTGGTCTTTTCTTCCGAAAAAGGCCCAAAATGCTGAGGACGACTACCAAAACAACGATAGTGGACGAAAAGATCGGTCTCCTCAGTGTGTGTCTGTCTGTCGGACTTGCCAGGAATTTTACCAGCGCAGTGTCCAGTCGAAATCACATCTCTTCTACATTTGTACGAACAACAGGGATGCTGCTAAAGTTCGTAGAAAATCCCGAACTAGTCACCGTAATCTAAATTTGAATTCATCAAACGTCGGGTTGGGCCGCGAAAGAGGGTCCTGTCCTTTAAATACGGGTGACTCAAAAAATAGATGTCCGTCGTGTTGGTACCAGAAATGTGTGGAGATTGGAATGAATTCGTCGACGATGACGAGTTCTAACAATAACAACTTGACGTATACTAACAACAACAGCAGCAGCAATAACAACAAAAGTGAGAACACTGAAAACAATTCTAATCGTGTTAGTAAATCGAAGAATATTGATAAACCTCCTTGTCAGCAATTATTACCCGAATCATCTTCATCAACTTCATCACAAAAACATTCTCATCACGAACCTTCTTCATCGTCATCTCTGGACACTTCGTTTATATCAACAGCAACTTCATCTTCTTTTTCAGTTCCAAAAAACCTCTCATCACTTAACAGTAAAAAGGACGAAATAAATAATTCTAAGAACTCAAATTTTACAACATTAGCCAAGCAACAGCAGCATCAATTACGAGAACAGCCCGAAAAGATCCCTTCTTCTTCTCCTCAATCAGCGAATCCAGATATTTCCTTTAAAAATAAAAACAACAGTCTAGCACAAAAATCTTCAAAAGAAATGAATCCCTCCGTAAGTGGGAACAACGGAGAAACTAAAAAGCCTGGAACGATTCTGCAATCCGAAGGAAAGCGTAACCAACCAGAGAAAAACCAGGTTGCTTTCCCTGGCATCAATACACAAAAAACGCAAACCTTTACCACTACAACAAGCCATAGTGTGGGTCAGCTTCACCCTCATGCAAAACCCCGACACGTAAGTTCTGTTGAAGTTGGTGAAAAAGGGTCTGTGGTTATAAAAGGCCCTCAACAGCCACCATCACAACAAAAGAAGGGGTCCTTTTTGGTACAAAAACAACAGCAAAAATCCTTTTCTTCTCAACACAACAATGGAAAAGGAACCAGTAAGAATCTTACTAACGAAAATTCAAACAAACCGAAAACTACTTCCAAGGATCTAGCAACAAGGTAGATACATACATTTTCTTTTAGTTTTTAATTCTTTTAAAAAAATTATTCTAAAAAGTTTTTTATTAATTTAAAAAAAATCACTAAATCTGTCCCCATTCTACGAATTATTTTTTTTTCACTCTGTTGAAATAACATTTTTTTTTAACTGTTAAACAACAGTCTTTATTGGTCGGGAAAAATAGCAGTTTTAAGCCTATTGATTCATTTATTATTATTGACGTGGAAAATATGACATCGAAAAAAATCCTCATGTTCTCTTCAGTACGTTTTACGGCGGGATGATCACATGATCACACTTCCTACGTCATGGCTAATTCTGAATTTTAGCTCTGGAAAAAATAACAAAACAGAAACTAAAAACACTCAGTTTAGTTTTTTTAACTTGTACTTTTTAGCTTTAAGAGGAGGGGGACCTGATTAGTGGCTAAGATAGTTGCATTCTCCCCACTTGTGCCAGTGGTCGTTGTTCGAGGTAGGTAGGCTGATTTTCAATAAAGGAAAACCCACCCCCTGGCGCAACACAATCTTCTTTCTAGTAGTATCCCGTTATTTTTTACCTCCTTTTGTGGAGGGGGACTAAAAAATTCAGTAAGCCTTTTTTTTTTTTTTTTTTAAAATTCTATGTTTTTATTTTATTTTTTACTGGTCTTAAAAATGAAGTTTTTCTGAAACTTTTGGGATATTTCTCTGGTTTTACTTTTTTTAACGATCTAAACAACTCGTCTTTAGTTTTTTTTTTTAATGGATTCAGACACACACACAACACTAAAAAGAGATATGACAACACATTGAAAAAGTAATTTTAGTACTATTTTTTAAATTCGTTTTTTACCTGAATCTACAATATTGTTGTCTTTTTTTTTTTATTACAACTAAAAAAACATTATTTCGGCATATCTGCTGTGTGTTCCGCCTAGGATCAGTGTGTTGTAGTTTCTGTGCACAGTGCATGAAAACTTTTGAAAAGTGCTAAAAAAATTCCATAATCCTCATTTAGCGCTTCTTGGGTAGATCGATAAACAAAAACTCATTCATTAGAGAGCAAAGCCCGAAATCGGAAATAAAAAAAAGCAACTTCCGTTCCGACAACTCGATTTGAACACGTATCCCACAAGACAAGATGGAGTTTAAACTAAAGTGATCTATAAAAACGCAAATGAAACTCATCCTTCAATTACAAAAGAAATTAAATATTCGGTTGTTATGGAAACGGAAGGCATTACTTGACGTCAATAAGCAAACATGCCTCGTAACAATGGAAAAATATCTTTGCTATGTAGGGGTGATCAGGCTGCTAATTGTTTTTTTTTATTTCCGGTGTTTCGTGGGAACTTTCTTTTTAGACTACTTTAATAAATTAATTTTTTAATTTCATACTTTTTTTTTATTACTATTGTAAACGTTATTTTTAATGGGAGGCACATTTTTCTTTAGTAGGATTTCTTGATCCAGGTTAGATAATTAAATTAATAATATATCATTATTTCACTGTTTAAGAACAAAAACACAGTGATGTCAACTCAAAGATGTATATTTACTAAATAACGTTTTTTATGGTTTAAAAAACAACATTCTTAATCTTACTTATGCAAAATATAAATTAAATTATTATAGCCCTTGTACTAGGAGTGAAAATCCCTGTCTAGTCTCTAGTGACTTGTTGAGTTTTGTGATGAAATGCAAGAATTTTTTTTGCGGTTCTTGACCTTTTTTTTTTTTTTTTACATTGTCTAAATGATTTTTTAATTTTTTATCATCTGCTGATAGTTTTTAGCACATACAAATCCTTCCAGGTCCAAAGGCAAAATGATATCATCTTGAAATTAAAAATATGAATATTTTTAAAGATTAAAGTCAGAATGTTAACAACTTTAAAAATTAAAACTGGTCACATTTTCTAAAAATCCATTTTACTACTGAGGATTTTTATAATAATGGTTGCTAGTTGTCATGATAAAAAAGTTTTTGACTTTAATTGAGTTGCTAGGCTGGCTAGCCATTTCTGAGAACACAAATTATTTATCTATCACAGTCTGTTTAGGCTAAGTCTGTCTATCACAGTCCATTTTTAGATATCTATCTGTTCATTATCTATCTATCTATCAATTTGTTTATCATCAGTCTATCTCAGTCTGTTCATTATATATCCATCTATCTCAGCATGTTCATTATCTATTGTAGAAACTTGGTGTACTTTATGGAAAGAGAGAAATGAAGGAATTCAACTGTAATCTTGTGACAAAAATATAATAGAAGATATTTCATCTTCACAGAAAATTTATAGAAATGAGTTCCAGTCAACCCTAACTGATTGAGGGGGTGAGGGGGTAAAATTTGCATATGTGTTCAAAGAGAGAGATATAAAATGCTAAAATTGTTAGCCAAAGGCTGTATTTTTTCTTCCTTTGTTACGACCTTGCTTTCTCTTTTGAAGCTGACTGGACATGTTACTAAAACTGTTAATAAGAGTCTTAACTCTTTATTTTCTATTGTTACTTCTACAAGGAGAATTACTTGTAGGCAATATATTTTGTTTTTTTATTGCAATTTGACACAAACAATTGCCACCGCAAGATTACACCAGTTACAATTAAGAATTTGCTATCATTTCTTTCTTTCTGCGCTGAGTTTTGCTTCAAATGCTAATAGTTGCCATTATAGTTTTTCTACCTTTTTTTTCCCATAACAGTCGGACTTGAAATCCTGACACTATCTATCACAGTCTGTTCATTATCTATCACATTAATGACCACTAGATAACTACCTACCTTCACCATCAACTGCAGTCATGATCATAGAGTTCCACACTACAGTGAATTGTGAATTCCATAATCTTTTCTCTGGCTGTATAGAATGTGCTTCAACAGGGATCTATATGGTTTTGAATTCAGTGTTGTAATTCTGGATGGAGCAGAGATGGATACCACTAACCATTAAGCAACCTGCACCTCCACTAGTGTTGCAGGTGTATGCTAGTTGTGTGTTTAGGTGGAAAACACGTGTCTCCTTGTATATTTATTCCCACAACGAAAATGGTAGAATCATAATATGGGTCCGGCTAATAAATGAACAAAATAACAACAAAAAACTAATGATAAATATGTGTTAACAAAACAAAAATGCACATAGACAATAGAATATTGTTGCATGTTACAAAACAATGGATATGAAAGAAGAAAACATTTAAACTAGTGAAGGCGTTTGTGTAGAAGTAAGTGTAACAAGCATGTGTGATAGACACATGTTGGTGAGAGAGTTCAAAAATCAACAAAGGACCAAGGGAAGCAAATGTGCCTCAGTAGCAGCGTTTTTATCTACATGCAACTACATCTGAAAGCTAGATAGTGAGAGAGTGACAGGTGCATGTGTGTGCCCAGGGGTGGGCCGCTTTCCTCCACTTTTGAACTACATCTTACCATCCCTGTGGGAAATGGGAAAAAGAGGATGACTGAGAATGTCACTGTCTATTTATAAGCTTAGCAGCATTTTTTTTAGCAAAGTAAGTGGGGTGATGACACCAACACTTAATTAACCAACACATATACCCAAGACACCACTGTCCTGAAAGACATCAATGGTGTATTTTGGGATCCTTTAAATCCAATGTCAGGTGGTTTTGATATTTGTGCCATTTGTTTGATCATTTTGTTTTTGGATTTTAGAGATTAGGAATTTTCACCATACTTTGATTCAAATTGTTCTCATCTTGATTGTTATAAATGTTATTACAGAAACTTTTTGGTTAAATACCCTCTGACCATCTTCAAGTTTTCATTATCTATGTGCTGATTATTGTGTTATTTTGTTCATGCCAGGCTGTTTATTTCTGAACAAGATTATATTATTTCACTACTTGATTCAGGGATTGAAAAACGACAAATAATAGCAACACTTAATTATATCCACTATGCCACTGTCATGAAGTGGTGTGTTTTTTGGAGCCTTTTGTTGTATATTGTACCTATGAACACTAATAGGTATGTCCCAATCCTCATAAATACATTGGGCATTATTGTAAGTGGGGGTAATATGCTGTCTAAGTAGTCCACCATTAGCAGTGGTTTACCTACTTCATGCCACTGGCAAGTATTGTATTTTGTTCATGTTATAAAGATTACCATTTCATTTCCAACCTCCATTTTGGTTATACCTCATTCAGTAACCCTTTCTAGGTTACAGTGCAAAGAGAAAAAAAGAGAAAAGAGAAAGAGAAAAAAGTGTTATATACCATACCTATGAACACTAATGGGGATTTCCTTGTCCTCAAGAATATGTTGCCATCTATTGTAAGTGGGGGTAATATGTTGTCTAAGTAGTCACCACTAGTAGTGGTTTACCTGCTAAACGCTGCTGGCGAATATTGTATTTTATTGATGTTATAAAGATTACCATTTCATTTCCAACCTCCGTTTTGGTTAATCCTCATTCACTAACCTTTTCTAGGTTACAACACCTTTAAAGCCAATGTCAAATGGTTTTTGACATTTTGTTATCTCAGCTGGTTAGTACCACTTATTTGATAATTTGTTTTGATTTTTGAAATGAAGAATTGTCTGAAAACTTTGACTTATTCAATTTATTTCAACTACACGTTCAGCTCACAAGCAAACATTTGGCATTTTTGGAATATTTCACTGCGCTAATGACAACGCCATCCTGTCCTTGGTCACCAGTGTGTTCATGATTGAATCCTCTGGCTGTGGAGTTGGTCACTTCAATCCAAGCCTCTCCCTGTCCTACATTTTTTGTTTTGATCACAAGGCAAGCAAGGATTGAATTGTCACCAGGTATTGCTGGATTGGTGTTGTTAGGCAGGACGATGTTATAAGACAATAAAAAAAGAAAATTGTGTAGATCAACAAGGTTTATATAGGAACACCTTTTCATATAAGAATCTACAAGCATGCAGGCTAATGACCATTCCCTTGTAGTCTAATTTCATGACACTTTGTTCTTCGTTTCCAAGTCGGAGTCAAGGCTTCAAACTTTAAGCCAGAGACTTCTTCAGGCAGCAAATTACGGAATGCTGACAAAGCATTTGTCTCACTTTCTCTCTCTCTCGGTATATAAAGACTTTCAATTTTTCTACTTGGCAATTTTATCAGAGCACTCTACTCAATTTATCTAATAGTCTGGATCAAGGCATGAGTTGAGAGTTCTCTGTGGTAGAAAGTCACATGGGGATTGGCAAAGTGATTGTCTTCTCTTGGTGTAATGGAAGCGCATCTCTGCCTCGGCTGCTACTACTCCAATTCCCCTCTGATCTAACGCTTTTATGGACCCCTTTCCAACATCGGTGTGGGGTCCAACGCGATCTGGGATTCCAGGATTTTCCAAATATCCAATCAGAACTCTCTGCTGACAGAATCCTGTAAAGCAATTTGCATGTCCAAATTTGGGAAATCCTTCCTCTGGAGAGTAGAGATGGCACATTTAAAACTTTAACATTTAAGTGACCTGTATCAAATGGATTTAGGGACCTTATAATACAAAATGAATTCAAATGAACCCAATTTTTGGCGATATTTTGGTTGCTTTTTTTGCCTTTGACTCCCAACTTCAAAAAATATCTCAGACAATATTTTTTTCCATTTTAGTCTAAGTTCCCAAATATTAAAATTTAAATCTGAAAAATGTAAGAAAGTTGTTCTTGGGAAGATATTTAAAACATACTCAGTTCCTTTCATATATTAAATTAGTCATTACCCACTTTTGGTGCCAGATATCAACTTTTGACATAAGTTTTCCTTTTATAATCAGAAAATCATGATCTAGATCTCTATTCCTATTTTTTTTTAATGTTTGATCCATTTTTGCCACTGACAACCCCTGCAAAAGAAGTCTAAATGGGGTAAATGCAAAATTTAAGCTCTTTTGGGGAATTTTCTCTCTTCACTGCCGACTAAGATTTCTAGAACTTAATGCTTATTTTTAATCTTATGTACAAATAACTATATTACAGTTCCATAATTGAGCTGAAAACCAAAAATGTCTGCTTGGCTCTCTTGTGAACTATTGTTCTCATCTTGATTTTTATTATAAGATACACCATATCAGCCAAACTAATAGACACCTGAAGATGGCCAGTGGGTACATGACTGAAACATTGCAGCTATAATATCTGTCATGATCAAGATGTGAACAACAGTCTGAATAAATCAAATAAGAGTATACTGACAATTCATTGTCTCTAAAATCAAAACATAAATAAAGTTTTAGAATTAACCAAGATTAAACTGAATGGATTATTTGACTACATCTGGTTATGAAGAAATTCCTGAAGGTATCGGAAATGTTGGTAATTATTGTGATATATATATATTAATGCATGTTTCATTAAATAATATAGATAAGTTTTGTCAATTTATTTTAACCAAATTCCTTTCATATCGTCTGATAGGCTTAATAACATTATCATTGAAAGAAAATCACCATATTGATACATGTTTTTTAATCTAAGCTTTCGACTTACATAAGCCATCATCAGAGACATCAAGTACATTACAATAAATTAAACAATACATTGACGTAGCAACAATGATAGTCTGTTTTGTTTGCATGGAAGATTTCCAAGCAATGACAAACTCGTGCATATGAGCCACTGGAAGCGAAAATGACACTACAGCCCATGACATCACACATGACCATGCGAGAGTGAAAACGAGAAGTGTTAAGTATGGGAAGCCGTTGGTATAAACCAATGGCTTCTGTTATCAATTATAGACATTTGAGTATATTTGTGCAATTTTCATAGATTATTTTGTTCAGGTTGGGTTTCAACCGTTTTATGTATATAGCTTCAAGAATTTTTAGTTTTTGTTTATTGTTTTTATGTTTAAGTATAGTTGTGTTTTCAACAAGGATTTTCCGGAAATGTGTATGTGGTCAGGCATGTTGTTTTAAATGCCTAAAAATGTTAGTTTTCATTCAAATGTAGAGTCAAGTGTCATGAAAGTGAATTTGTGGTGTGACCAACATAAATATTATTTAATATGTTAGAGATACAATTTCCCAGATGGCACTTAAATTTGTAAACTATGTTGGTTTCTTGCAAATGGCTAACGGTGGGGGGGAAAAATCATTGCAAATAATTGAGTTGGGTATACTAGATTTAGTATAGTATATGATTTACTTAATTTTTTTGCTAGGGTCTGTTGTAGATATATTTACCAATTTTTTTAGTATATTTTCATCTTGTTTATAATAAGTATGCTTTTGATTACAATATAGGAGATTAATATGTTTGACATTAGTAGAAGCAGTATTATGTACAATTTGCTTAGTATTGAGATTTCTAAGAAGGCATCTTATTTGTTCATTAACTATATAGTTTGGAAAGCTATTATTAATAAGTGTCTGTTTTATATTCTTTAGTTCACTGTAAAAAATCTGTTTATTGGATGAACTAGTTTCTGCATGATGTATTAGATTTTTTATAATTGCTATTTTGTAGTATTATGGGCATTCGCTCTTGTAGTTAAGTGTACATGAATTTATGCTTGTAGGTTTTTTGTATGGCGAAATAGTAAATTTGTTATTATTTGTGTTTATCAATATGTCAAGGAAGGGGATTTTATTATTAGTATTGAGTTCATACATGAATTTAAGGACAGAATTATTTTGGAAACGTTTTTTAAGTTGAAGTATTTCATCTGTATTTTTAACTAACATAAGGATATCATCAGCATATACTTAGGTAGAGGGATGGTTTTTTAAAATCTGTAAATATCTTATTTTCGAGGTTCGTAATGTAGAAATTGCTAAATGTCGGATCCAGTACTGAACCCATGGAGACACCATCACGTTGTATATATATTATTATTATGATCTAAGAAAAGGACTTCAGTAGTACAAGCTAATAGTAGTAATGAAAAAGAAGCAATACTTTTTTTTTTTAATTATCTCACCTCAAGCAAGGCAACAAAGCCACTAAAATACAGGGAGCTACTGAGTGTGAAAGAATATAAGAAAAAGAAAAGCATTATTAAGGATGAAGAACAATAAAAGAACAATAATTAAGAAGATGGTAGATAATGATTGATATTGCATTTACATTTTTGAAAATCAAACTTGACTGGAAAGCAAGAAGCTGGAAGAAATTTTCACAAGTGAGAAGTGTGAAGCTGTTAGCATAGAATTTGTTACATTGAGCCATTTTTAACTGTAAAATGATGAGATATTTCTGCCAATCTAGTATTGCATGTAAATTCAGAAAGTCTAGCTACCATAGAGGAAAGTTCATCAGTATGATTACTATAAAAATATTCATAGAAAAGGTGCAGTGAAGCTACATTATGGCAGTGGGAAACTAGTCTCAGATGATTAATAGAGAATAGATTTGTTTTGGAAGTGTTAAAATTAACAGGCCATTCTTTGTCCAAGTTAACAACAGAATATAGGTTATTTTTGAGATCAGCTATCAATTTGACTTTATTGAACTGATCAAATTTACTATTACACAGGAGTAAATAGTTATGTAATCAGCATAGATACAGAGTTGAGAACTGTTGTAGTAAGGAAAGTAGTTGATAAAAATTAAGAACAATATATGTGCAAGGATAGAGCCCTGGGGGATGCCTGCATTAATGCAAAAAGATCTAGAAGAGTGGCCATTCAAGATAACTTTAATTTTATGATTCAATAAGAAAGGCTGAATTAGTTAAAGAAATCCATTCAGAAATACCATAAACTTTCAACTTAGCCTTTACAGATCATAGTATTTTTTGATGTTGGATTTAGATAATGGATTTTTAGTTTTAGTGATAAGTATACATTAAACATTCTTATTTAGCACTAGGATGGGCTGAACTTATTCTTCCATGTGTGTGTCACTTGATAAATGTCCCAAAAGGTGAGCTAACACTTATCATATCTAACATTCACTGTGAGGATTTTACATGAGTTTTTATTTTATATTTGTTTAATGCTATGTTCATTGGGGATGTAGGCGATCAGGTTTCTCTATAGATTTGTAAACAGTCACTACAGCTCTACTAGAGTCTGTAATCAAAACTTGGTCTAGTCTTTACTAGAGTGGTAGTTCGTCCTTGGTCGGATCACTACTAGAGATAATATGTTGGCCTTGGTCAGGTCACTACTAGAATCGGTAGTTCCACCTTGGTCAGGTTGCTATTAGAATCGGTAGTTCGGCCTTGTAGAAGTCAAATAACTTATGTTCTAACATGGCTGCCTCCTTATGTCTCCTTGTAGAAAGGCAAGCCATCTAATCTACCTCATTTATAGGGTATTACCTAGTACAGCAGGTGGGTTAGTCCACTTTACTAGAATGGACCTGCCCAACACATTTGCATGAGTGGACTCTATTCACTCATATATCTCTCCATTAAATCACTGTGCAATTAACCAATATTCAACAGGTCGGTTTTGCTACTAGAATCAGTAGTTCGGTCTTGGTCAGGTCACTACTAGAGTCGGTAAGTCAGCCTTGGTTGGGTTGCTACTAGAGTCAGTAGATCAGCCTTAGTTAGGTCGCTACCGGAGTCGGTAGCTCGGCCTTGGTTGGGTCACTACTGGAGTCAGTAGGTTGGCCTCGGTCAGGTTGCTACTAGAGTCTATAGGCGGGCCTGCAATGTAAAGCTGTGATTGTGTCTTAGGCATAATGTAAATCTAATGTCTTTGAGTACATATTTTTGTGTTTAGTTCAAAATGTTTTCTTTTTTTTTTTTCCAAGAAAGAATTCTTTAAATTTTTGTTGATAGTTTGTATAAAGACTAAAATTTTATTTAGTAACTTTGTATGTCTTTGTTTTCATTATTCTTGAGGTTTTGTACTTATTGCATTTATTTTTTTTTCTCCAGGAAATGTGCTGAACTGAAGAGTAAAGGCCCAATCATGGTCAGTGTCAGTGAATGTGTATGCCAGGTCTGTGGTGACTCTGCATCGACATTCCACTATGGAGTACTTACCTGTCCCGACTGTATGCTTTTTTTCCAACTAAGTAACAAAGATGACTTTTCTGAGGGTTACTCTTGCAAACAGAAACGGCATGAGGTTACCAAGAAAAATCGGGGTCGCTGTGAGTACTGCTGGTACAAGAAATGCATTCACATGGGCATGTCAATGGATAAACCGGAGGTTGGGGAGACAGTCCGTTGTATTAAAACAGAACCACGACCCCAGCAGCAACAGGTAACAGCCCACCGAGCAAAAGACCTGGCTGTCAATGCAAGTTTGTCAAAGCCTGCACCTGTTCTGAAAATCCAGAATTTGTGTAAGGTGTGTGGTGACCGTGCATATAAACACCACTATGGTGTCCTGACCTGTCCTGAGTGCGAGGTATTTTTCCGAATGAGTCTGATGGATGACTTTGCAGATGGCTACTTTTGCCGCACAAAAACATGCAAAGTAACCAAATATCGACGCAGCAAGTGTGAATACTGTTGGTATCAGAAATGCCTGGCCAGTGGTATGTGTGGCTCATCATCACCGCAACAGCAGCAACAAAGAAAGCAGACCTCACCACCAGTTCTTTTGCCAAAGAAGGCTTTGATCAGTGATCCTGGGACTCTAGTTAATGTAAAACAAGAACATGATTCTTCAGGTCAGCAAACTGCTCATCCCAGCACCAGTCAAAGTGGTCAGGCATCAGTGTGCACATCGCAGGACCCACCAGTTTTGAAAAGGGAAGAACTGGTATTACCCCAGTGTCTCCCCAGCAGGATGATGGCAGATGTTGAACACAATGAAACAGCGGAAAAAAAGCAAGCAGTTTCCATTTCTAAAGCTTCTGCTGTTACCAGAACAATCTCCTTGTCATCTTCTGCCAATTCCATTTCTTCTAAGCCCAATAAAGAAGCAACAGCATTCAGAAAGGAAGATTCTGCTGTTACCAAAGTAATGTCTTCATCCTCTTCTGCCAATTCCCTTTCTTTTAAACACAATAAAGAAGCAGCTGCAACAAGAAATGAAGCTGTTTCCATCTCTAAAGCTTCTACTTTTTCCAGAACAATCCCCTTGTCATCTTCTACCAATTCTCTTAGTTCTCAACACAATAAAGAAGCGGCAGCAATCAAAAAGGAATCAATTTCCATCTCTATGGACTCTGCTGATACCAGAGCAATATCTTCATTCTCTTCTGCCAATTCCCTCTCTTCTAAACACAATAAAGCAGCTGCAGTTTCTATCTCTACAGATTCTTCTGTTACGGGAGCAATGTCTTCATCCACTTTGGCCTCAATAAAGAAGCACAGTAAAGAAGCAGCAGCAAGAAAGAAAGCTGTTTCCATCTCTACAGATTCTGCCATTACCCGAACACTCCCCTTGTCATCTTGTGTTGATTCCCTTTCTTCTAATCGCAATAAAGAAGCAGCAGAATCCAAGAAGAAAGCAATTTCCATTTCTACAGATTCTACTGTTACTAGAGCAATGTCTTCATCCTCTTCTGCCAATTCCCTTTCTTCTAAACACAAAGAAGCAGCAGAATCCAAAAAGAAAGCAATTTCTATTTCTACAGATTCTACTGTTACTAGAGCAAAGTCTTCATCCTCTTCTACTGATTTCCTTTCTTCTAAACACAATAAAGAAGTAGCAGAATCTAAAAAGAAAGCAGTTTTCATCTCTACAGATTCTGCTGTTACCAGAGCAAAGTCTTCATCTTCTTCTGCCGATTCCCTTTCTTCTAAAAACATTAAAGAAGCTGCAGAATCCCAAAAGAAAGCACCTTCCATTCCTACAGTTTCTCCTGTTACTAGAGCAATGTCGTCATCCTCTTCAGTCACTGTAAAGAAACACAATAAAGGAGCAGCAGCAAGAAAGAAAGCAGTTTCCATCTCTACAGCTTCGACTGTGACCCGAACACTATCCTTATCATCTGCCGATTCCCCTATTTCTACATATTCAGACAAAATGTCTAATTCCCAAATTTCTTTAACTGGCATCTCTGAAAATACCAAATCTGTTGCCTCAATGCTAACCAAACTGAAGAAATCTCCAAAAGAGTTATCCTCTGCACAGATGTCTACATCCAATAAAGACGTGTATATTTGTAAAGTGTGTGGGGGCAAGGCAGTAGCAAAACATTTTGGCATCTATGCTTGTGAAGTATGCAATGAGTTTATCATGAAAAGCTTGCGAATACCACCTGAGATGAACAAATGTGTCAGCAGACAAGAGTGTAACATTGGCGGTAACATTGCCAGCCGTTGCACTGACTGCTGGTACCTAAAATGGCGTCAAGTTGGTCATCTAGATGGGTATGTACCTTCTGGTGGCATACTGGCCAAGAGTTTGAATATAACTTGTGCCCAGGCTGAAGATAAAGCTACTCCACCGTCCAGCGAGAGTAGGGATAGGCAAACTGAGATCCCTTTGAATCTTTGTGCTGTGTGCAGTAATCCTGCATCGGCATCAAATTTTGGTGTGCTCATCTGTCTTGACTGTCAAGTATTTTTCCAGGTCAGTGTACAGGAGGATCTTGCAACTGGCTATGAGTGCTACCTGGATGGTAAATGTCAAATAACAAAGAATAAGAACAACAGGTGTGAATTATGTTGGTATAAAAAATGTCTGAGTGCAGGTATGCGTATCACAAACTATGAGCAAGCTGTTTCATTGTTTTCCATGCTTACAACCACCACTACCACATTGTCTTCATCATTCCACAGCCCATCAACTACAGCCCTCACCATGGTCACATCTGATCATGAAAACAGTCATTTCCCAACCTTTCATGACACCAAGGCTTCATCTTTGCAGTTTCCGTCCAATTCAAGTATTGAAACAATGTGCAGTGTTTGTAGTCAGCCTAGCACTGAGGTTTATCTCGATGTTCACGTTTGTCTGCAGTGTAAAGAATTCTGTCAAACAAGTTCTGATCCGAGAGTCCATACAAAATATGTCTGCATACAGAATACAAACAATTGCTTTTCCACAGACAAAAACCTACCGGTTCTGAATCGTTGTGCCTCCTGTTGGTATCGCAAATGTATACAGGTAAAAATAGGGATCCCAGACTCTGGCCGGGGAACCAGCACTAAAGACCCGTCCATGCTAGATGTTTCACCCCCTTCACAAGAGATAAAACGTGCCCATCCAAATCCAGAATATATTTGGGAAAACAAGAAGTTGACCAGTTCTGCAGAAATGTGCAGCGCCGTTGTAGACAATATCCTGCAAGAAAATAGCAACTCTCCGAGTGTAATTATTTGGCCCAAAGATTTGCGTTTTCCATATGAAAGTGCCTCTCTTGTCCGTCATGAGTCAAGTTCAGAACCTTCAAATCTGATGGAGAGCATCATTGAAACTTTCACAAAGTCAAGTGAACGGTGCCGAGAGTCTGAACTTTTACAGAAAAAGTTTCAGAAATTGAAAATGGAAAAAGCAAATGCAATGAAAAGGCAACAACAACAGAAAAAAATGTCTGTTACACTCCCATCATCTGAAACCTTGATTGAAAGCAGTGAACCCTTGAAAGAATTGACCACTGATTTAACAGACATGCAAGTTTCTAAATTGGCATCAACAAGTTCTTCTAAGTCTCTGGCACCATCTTCTTCTTTGATCTTTTCAAAGAATTCCAAAGGAGATTCTTCAACTGAGTCTACCTTCCAAAATCGTGACACTGTGGTTTCAAGTGTTGATCCCTTGACTAAACCAAATGGAAACCGTAGATGCTATCCAGAGAAAGATAGCTTCCTCTCAATGACCATGTGTGATCGCCTCATGGTTAAAATTACCAACGAGGTACCACAGAATATTTTTGACAGCTCTGATGATGTGGCCTTTGCATCTGAATCTGGAACAACAGCCTCTTCATCTGCATTAGCTTCGGTTTCAGACCAGCCGTTATCATTGAAGCAGCCTATAAAACGAGTGACCAGCACATGTGGGGAAGAGTATGGGACAACTGAGCAGCTAAGTGCAACCAAATATCCGGTGTTAGATAATATTCCGGGAGGGGAAAGAAACCAGCAAAAACTGACTGTTTTGCAGATGCACAAGGATGATTTTGGGGAGCAATTGCAGATGTTGCAAAGAGACCTTAAAAAAGAACGGCAGAAACTCTATAATCTACAAAAGAGCCACAAAAAGCTGCAGGCAGGAAAAAGACAAGAATTAAAGGTGCTGGTTCCCACCTCTTCCACACTGACAACATCTCGAGTTGTAGTCAAACAGAACGTGCAACGGAATCCACCGAGTGACAAATTTCCTGACGGTTTCAATATGGAACCTGTTTCAGACCTGCACAGTCTATCCTCGTCTTCAAGAACTAGTTATGATATATCAAATGAATCAGAGATGCTGTGTCGAGTATGTGGAGATAGTGCTCCTGGAGTACTCTATGGTGTGTGGACATGTCTGAAGTGTAGTGTATTCTTTCGTCAAAGTATTGATAAGCAGGTCTCTGATGGATATGTGTGTCAAAAAGGCAGGGCCAGTTGTAAGATTGATAAAAACACTCGTGGGGCATGTCGTTATTGTTGGTATCAAAAGTGCTTGATGGTGGGTATGTCGAAACGAGCTTGGAAAACAGCTCCTTTGCCAGTGGGAATTGAAGTACGAAATGAAAATGAAGATATCTCTCACGAGGATGAGGAAGAAGAGGAAAGAAAGAGAAAGGAAGGCGATGAAAGAAAAGGGTTGGAGCTGGAAGAAGAGAAGAAAAAGGAAGAAAGAAAAGGAAAAGAAGGAGTGGGAAGAAAAGGAGTGGAGCTGGAAGAAGAGCAGAAAGAGGAGGAAAGAAAAGGTAAAGAAGAAGAGGATGGAAAAGGGGTGGAGCTAGAAGAAGAGGAGAAAAGAAAAGGAAAAGAAGCAGAGGAAAGAAGAGTGGAGCTGGAAGAAGAGCAGAAAGAGGAGGAAAGAAAAAGAAAGGAGGAAGAAGAAGAAAGAAAAGGGGTGGAGCTGGAGGAAGAGCAGAAAGAGGAGAAAAGAAAGGAAGAAGAAAGAAAAGGGGTGGAGCTGGAAGAAGAGCAGAAAGAGGAGGAAAGAAAAAGAAAGGAAGAAGAAGAAAGAAAGAGAGTGGAGCTGGAAGAACAACAAAACAAAGAAGAAAGAAAAGTGGTAGAGCTGGAAGAAGAGCAGAAAGAGGAAGGAAAGGTTAAAAAAGGAGAGGAAAGAAAAAGGGTGGAGCTGGGAGAAGCAGAAGAGCCGAGAGAAGAGGAGGTGGAAGTAGAGAAAGAGCAGGAAGAAGAAAAGAAAGAAGACAAAAATGAAGGAAAAGAAGAAAAAGAAATAGTAGATAATGAAAAAGGCAATGAGAATGTTTTGGACACGAGTAAAGACCATTTTTGTGAAACACATGTTGATAGAAGGTCGACTTCCCCAACTGAAGACAATGAAGATGAAGGTTTGAACACGGAAAATGAAGATAATGTTGAGCCCAGGAAAAGGGGTATTGACTCTACCATGACATCAGTATCTCTCAGACCGGCTAATATTCCAGCTGCAGCTTTCACATCTGAGCTAACCGAAGACCAGGCTAGCACTTTGGGTGAGCAGAAAAAATGCCCCAAGTGTAGCAAGAGCATGCTACTTTCCTCTTCAAAAGATGGTGAAAACTGCACAGTTGTTTGTTACTGTGTTGAAAACCCAGTTTCTGACCATGCCGCCTCATCCATGATGTCGAACCGAATCGGAAGTCCAGTTGATCTGTTCCTCTCTTCCATTGATACGTCCAACCCGACCCAACACTCGGAAAATCTCTCATTAGGGGCTGCTGCAGAAGATACAGCAGCAGCAAATTCAACTGCAATTTCTAAAACTACTCTTCAGAATGCCTCCCTCATCGAGTCGGCAACATTTCGGAGAATCCTCCCTGAAAGTCTTAGTACATCTGTTGACCCTTCTGTTGTTACTGAGATCATTCCCGAGCCTTTGTGGAATTCGTTGGACACGGAGATTATTCAGAAAAAATCTATTGAGGGAGAGCCTGGTATGGCCGGGTCTCCAAGTGATAACCTGGTTGATGCCCCTACTGCAATGAATACAGAAGATAATGGAGTGACGATTTCTGAGACCCTGAGGAATTTCACCGACAAATCTGTCATCACCGAGATCATCCCCAGCTCATCAAGCAGCCATTCCATCAATTCTTCTGTGCTTGTCGACATGATTCCTCGCTCCATATGCAATTCTCCCGAAGCTCCTGTTGGTAAAGAAATTATCCCAGGGGCACTCTCGCATTTCATTGATAAGCGGGTCCTCACTCAGACTATCCCACCCAACTCTATGGAAATGGGATCGGAATTTAGCTGCGATCTGGATGATGAGAGTAATGAGGCTCTGGGTAATGCTGGGGACGATATGCGGTTGTCTGAAAAAAGTTCGTCTTTTATTTCAACAGGACATTTTCAGTTTTCTGCGAATTTGTTGCCCTCTGCGTCTGTGGCTGCCATTCTGAAAGAGAGAGGCCGACCACCCACTTTCAAGACTAAAAAATTGGTCAATGTGCCTTCAATTTCACAGCGTTACATGATAAAACGCTGCTCTCCTAAACATATCATTTCTAGGACGCAGAAGTTAAAAAATACAGCTAAAGTGATTGAGAAGGCAAAGAAAAAAGAAAAACATTCCAAGGGAGGTTTGAAATCTCCAGTAGCAAGTAGGTCAAAATATAACCAGTATAAATTTTCAGGTAAAGGAAAACAAGTTCAGTCATTCTTAAAACAGAGTCAGAATTCATCTTCCCCTTCGAAAATGATAATTAAAAATGAGCTCAAAGGAAAGGGTGGAGTCAAAACTGTACAGAAGAGAGGGAGACCTTCAAAAAATGCATGGACTGATCAGTCTCCTGGTAATAGTGGCAGACCAAAAAGAGGTATTGTCATTTCTGAAGATTCTGAGGACTGCGAGTCTATTCCTGAACAGGTTGTCGAGAGGCAGTTACGTAAAAGAGGCCGACCTCCAAAAGCATCAACAAATTCCTTATCAAAAGCTGTAAGCCGAGAAGAAGGTGATGTTGGCTCAGAGTCTGTGGATGTGGTAATCACAATTTCGGAATCAGTCAAAAGGAACAAAGCAAAGAAGTTGGGCTTAGACCATGATTCTAAACAGAATGAACTGGAACATTCTGAGAGACTCAGAGAGGAATCAGCATCTCCAGAAATACCTGACAAAACCTGTCTTGTGTGTGGGAATGAAGCCCATGGTATACATTATGGGATTCTTGCCTGTAGTACGTGTCGGATGTTTTTCTACCAAAGTCTCGATTCAAAGTTACTGAAGACTTATAAATGTGAGAAACGAAAGTGTGTTATCAACCTGAACACCCGACGTTCCTGTCGCTACTGCTGGTATCAGAAGTGCCTGAACGCAGGGATGATAAAGGGATCTCGGAAAAGGGGACGCCCTCCAAAGAAAAACCATTCCCAAACAACCAAACACAGTACAGGTGAAAAAGTGGAGCACCAACAAGAACTTGAAAAGAGTGTCAGCACTGATTCTCAAACCCAGATCGAGGAAGCGGAGAAAAGTGTAGCTGCTGAAAATAGCAATAAACAAGAGCAGGTCGTGTATGATGAAGATAATAGCCTTAGCAACAGCTTTCTTTGCATCGATGAAGATGATGGTGGTCAAGGAGATCCTGCAACTGAGCAAAAGGAGCAGGCTTCACAGTGCTCCATTAGAAACTCCCCAAGTCACATTTCGCACAGTTCAAATGAAGACGAAGACATTGTGTGCATTGATTTGGATGGTGAAGCTGACAAAACTGATGCTCAGAACAACAAAAGCTGTACCGATTTGGAAGTTTCAAATACAGATCTGATTGTCTCTGATAAGGATCCCCCAAGGACAATGGATAGTGAGCAGAGAAAGTACAATGAAAGTGACAGGGATATCCTGACAGAAGATTCCCAGTTTAGGGAACTTGATGGCGAGACCGTGTGTGTTTGTAAAGTTTGTGGGGATGTTGCTTCTGGCATCCACTTTGGTGTGGAGACCTGCCGTTCGTGCACCATCTTCTTCAAGCAGAGCACGGATGTACGCACAGCCAAAAAGTACAAGTGTCAAAATAAAAACTGCTCAGTAACGAGGGACAACTATGAACGCTGCTCCTACTGCTGGTTCCAGAAGTGTCTTCTGGTTGGCATGTCCAAGATGTCCATTTCCGATAACCTTGGCACGAGTCAGAAGCTGACGGGTGTGTTTTTTGAAAACTATACCTCCAGTACTGGCAAGCCTCAGTCTGCAGAAGTTGATAATAAGTATTTGGATGCGAACTGCACAGCTGGAAATGATGCTTCTCAAGAAATAGTGGAAGATGAGTCTGTAGTTAAAACAGTGGCAGCTCAGGTGCCTGCTGCAGATTTGGAGCAGAGAAAGTCAGCCAACCAGGAAACTAGCAGAACTTTGGATTCTCTATCCAAGAACAACAAAATCAGTGTTGAGGTTTCCCCACAATATTTCTCACCAGAATCTTCAAATGTCATCAAGGAAACTGTTATTGTAGATTCCAACGAATTACCAATGACAGCAACCATGGTGACAGACACAGATACGGCCAATTCCTTGTTTGTGCCAAAAGCACTCTGCAGAGTGTGTGATGACATTGCTTGCGGTTTAAAGTTTGGGGTTCAGACCTGTCGCAAATGTTGGTATTTCTTCCGCACAGTTCTGGACAGTGCGGCGCCAACCGAACTAGAGCACTCTAAAGGTAATTGTAACATCTCTAAGAATAACTTGAATTGGTGCCGGTATTGTTGGTATCAGAAGTGTCTTTCTGTAGGCATGAGCAGCGCGTTGCATAACAAACAGCAAAATTCAACGTTGAATGTATCAAATGGAATCGCCTGTTCAACTGCTGCAAACAGTCTTTCGTCTTCTGTGAGTGAATCCGGTGCAGGCACAGGGATATCTGAGAAATCTTCAAGCCAATCTGGAAACAGCAGTACTGCTCGGTCGGGCTCCATCCAGATTTACAAGAACATTTCCTTAGCTTCCAGTGTGCAGGCTTCAACAGCTGCATCACCTACAACATCAAAATCTACTGTCGGGGCTAAACCAAAACCTAGCCGGTCAGCTATCAAAGAAGTCAATTCTGTCTGTCTTTCCCAGGCGGCTGCTTCACCCGATACCCCAAAGAAGGATGCTGCCAAGCCATGCAAAGTGTGTGGAGATGTTTCATTCGTGTCTCACTATGGCATTACGTCTTGTCTGAACTGTAGTGTGTTCTTCCGCCGAAGTGTTGATAAAGGGTTGCACCGAAACTACAAATGCCTGAACAAGGATTGTCTGGTCAACCGTTTAAACCGTAGCAATTGTTATTACTGCTGGTTCCAGAAGTGTGTTGGCGTAGGCATGTCATACAAACCGAAGCGCAAGAACCGCCATCAAAAAGAGAAATCGGCCGACCAAACCTCAAGGACGCCTGAAAAAGAACATCTCTACAAGAACAGATGTGAAGAAAGTTCCAGAGGCAGCAACAGTGCCAACAAAAGTATTGAGCAATTGACTCCTGATAGGTAAGTCTGTTTCTCTTTTTAATTTTTTGATGAGATAACAAATTAATCATTATTTACACCGATTTACTTGAACTAGTATCCTCATTTTGGTTCTTATAGTCATAACAATTCAGTTGTTCTAAGCTTCAACCTCTTTGTGATTATAACAATTGAGATGAGTCCAGGTAAGTCACTGCCCTGTCAGCTGGAGCTTCAGAATACACTGACTGTACCGCTACAAAGGGGTAAGACAGCCCCCACCATCCTCCCCTACGAGGCATCCTAGGCATAACGATAAACTACATTCATGTCCTGGGTATGATCATAAACTACATCCGACAGCAAGGTCTCTGATCAGGAGGTCCACTCTGACTCGAGGTGGTAGCACCTGTTAGGGTCCCAGCTATGGGCAAATAGCTAACCTCCAAACTGGAATCAAAACATTATGAAAGTGTAAAAATAGGTTTTAATACCAGCAATACTTTTTGGGGAAAAAAATTACCAGCAATACATTTTTGAAAAAAAAATATTACCAGCAATAAAAATCTTGTTGGCATTAAATATCACATTGAGGTTGATATGCCATAAAACAAACCAAACCAAACAAGTCAGTGTATAATAATGATGATTCCTCATTTCGGAAATAGATGAAATATGACTATAACAATCAAGATGAAGATACTAGTCCAGTTGAATCAGAGTTAAATAATGATAATTCCTCATTTCAGAAAAAGGTGAAATTTGACTATTACACTCAAGATGTACTAGTCCAAATAAATCAGTGTTTAATAATAATAATTCCTCTGATCAGAAAAGGCTCAATTATTATGACTATAACAATCAAGATGAGGATACTAGTCCAAGTGAATCAGTGTATGATAATTCCTTGCACTCAGTGGAACTGTTAAACAGTAACTGAATAGTACTAAATAAAAATAACTCTTCATCCCAGAAATTCAAACAAATAGGTGATGTGAATTGGGCACTGCATCAGTGGGCAAGGATTTGACTGTTGTTATAGAAGGAAGCAAAAGCACAAGGTGGACTGGAAAGTTCAAAGTTCAGATGCAGAGGACTTTCTATAATGTGAGATGGCAAGAAACTTTTTAATGTAACTTCCCAAATATTAAAACAATTCAAATTGGTGAAATGTTGTAAGAAAATTGTTTTGGGGAGGATATTTAAAAGACGCTCAGTTCCTTTCATGCGTTAAATTGACCATTACCTGTTTTCGCCATCACAGGCTGGGCACCAAATATCAGTTTTTGACATAACTTTCCATGTATTTATCAGAAAATCGTGATCTGGGCCTCTATTCCTATCACTACTCATTTGGTATTTCCATGTCAAATATTCTGATGAGCTACATTCCTTAATTTGAACATTTCAGACTTTCACAGCTAGGCCATGTCACATAGACAAGGTTGAATCATCTTCATATTTTATTGGTAAGAAGGAAGTTCCATTTGAACAGCTTCTCCCTGGGAACCACAACTTTGTGGAACTCACACCTGAGAGGATGTTTCCCCAATCACGACAATTGTAACCCCTTCAAGTCTAGAGTTAACAATTATCTATCCTGCATATACTCATAATCTGCACTTACTACCTCTTTTTACATTTACACAACAACCTCATTTAGTAACCCTCTGCTTTGAGTGGGACTTGGGTTTTGTATTAAGTGAACATTTAGTGAAAAAGAAAAATTCTTTAAAAAAGTATATTAAGATTTCATTTTGAATAATTTTAATGTGTGTTTCAAAAGAGATAAATCAGTGTTACTCCAAATTTTAATTTATTTGCTAATTTAAGTTAGCATAGAATCTTCGGCATGAGCTACATATTCATAACAGATATGGAAAATGTCTTTGGGAATGTAACAGTCGAATGCCTGTAGTTAAAATCTTCCTAGACACCATTGGGCACGTCCAGAAATGTCAATCATTTGACTCCAACAATTTAAAACACTGAATTTTAAAAAAAAAAAATATGTTCACATCTGTAATGAAACTACTAAATAAAGAAAATCTATGAAAAAAGACTGTTGGAGTTAATGTGTAAATTAAAATGAAAAATAAATAATTTTCGTAATTTTCATCTGTGATACAAGGGGTTAAAAAATGAAAATCACATTTAATTATAATTAGTTGAATTAAGTTGGGATGTGTGCATAGCATAGCAATTAACTGTGTATAGTAGTGTTTCTTAACCTTTTTTACTTTTTTTTTTTTTTTTTTTTTTTTTTTTTTTTTAGGGTACATTTGTAGAATAACTAAAACTCTGGCATGCACTTTAACCTTTAGCACTTTTGCTAATAAGGGGGAGATCAAAATTTTTCTCAATGTGCAATAAGTAGGAAAGAGTCTTAAAAGGTATCAGGTTTGATTGGCAAATCGTTTAAAATGTCAAAAAGTGCAAATTTAATAATGTGATGATCGTAACAAGCTCAGGAGTGGATGGGAAATTTCTAAAAAAAAAAAAAAATAATGTTCCTTTCGCCCATTTATTAAGCATCTAATGCTCATTGTGAATGTGACAGATAAACAGTATACAAGTTAACTCAGTAGTGTCTGACTGCTGATTGAGCCACCTCATGAGAGAGTCTCTGTTCATGTATGCACAGTAAAGTTCCCTCTGATTGACTGCCAGGTTATGTTGCAAAATATTCAAAATGGCTGGGTGTGTTGCAGACATTGTTTGTATTTTATAAAAACAAATCTCGCTTTTAAAGTATGTTGGACTCTTTTTTAAAAATCTATAATTTATTTTTTGTCTTTGCAGTATTTCACCAGCTAAATCTGTTGGCAGTTCTTCCAATTCAAGCAGCATAATACAGTCACGGACACGATGCAGCAGCAACATTTTATGTAAGGTGTGTGGGGACGAGGCATCAACTGTCCACGCTGGTGTCCTCACTTGCCATCCTTGCCGCTCATTCTTCAAGCGCAGCATGAGGAGCAGTATCAGTCGCAAATACTCATGTGATGAGAAAAACTGCTCAATCACCAAAAACAACCGAAAGAGCTGCGACTATTGTCGCTATCAAAAGTGCCTGACTCTGGGCATGGCCAAGAATGCTATGAAGTCGACCAGCCAACCTCTAAAGGACAAAACAGCAAGTCAAAAGTCTCTTGGCACGACGGAGAACAACATTCCAGCAGATTCTTTAGATAAGGTAATCCAACAAGATGATTCTGAAGGTCTTATAGATAAAATATGCAGTAAGAGTGGGGGGGGGGGTCGAGTCATGGTACATGAATTGGACAAAAACTAATCTGTGTCCATTTTTATATTCTAAAAACAAAATGGGTTGAAGGAAGATTTAATTAAAAAACATCTTTTCCTGCAACATAAAATGGTGAATTATTGCTTTGTCTGTGCCATGATTGTTTTAATTTGAACAAACTAAAATATTGTATATTTGATTTGCTGTTTATTGCTATTTAGGAAATCAGTTGACATCATCAGGAAAATGGATTCTATATGATGGAATTTTCTGATGTCAGTTCATTGGTGACATGGGGCAAAGGGTCTTCCAAATTGTGTTATATATTTACCATTCAGTTTGTTTTGGTCTGTATGTATGTATGTATATATGGAAGTGTGCAATATATATATATATAATTTAAAGACATTTTTATGTTTATACATTCTTTTTATTTATAGATACAAATATTTAAGTAAATGCTATGTTTATAATAAACAGTATTAACAAAATTTACTGGCCTGAATGTCTGAGAAATTTTCATAGAAAATATCCGTCCTCTGACAGGAATCGAACCTGTATCCTATATGGAACCGTCATATAGCTTGACATGGCTTAACCAATTGGGCCACAGAGCATTTATTTAAATATTTAAATATATAAACATAAAAAATGTCTTAAAAAATAATTGTTGGACTTTGTCCATTTCATAATGTGTGTGTGTATATATATATATATATATATATATATATATATATATATGTTTTAAGGTATGCTATATTTATGGGTTAAAGTGCTCAATAATTCAGGGACAGAGCATATGTAAATATAAAAGTAGATATTGAAGTCAACACTCAGTGGTGACAATGTTTCATGCTTACGCAATCATTAGGCCATAATGATTGTGTATAAACATGAAGCATACTGTCGCATCTGGGTGTTGACTTCAATGTACTTTTTTTATTTATTTTTTTATATATATATATATATATATATATATATATATATATAGGCTAGGCTAGTATCACACTTAAAGCATAAATGAAATGTCTTTCTCTTAACTGATTTTCTCCACAATAGCCCCTGCTAGCATGCATAAGTCTAAAACAAAAGCACCATCCAATGCTGACCTTATCGTTCATGATAGGAGAATCCAATATATATATATATATATATATATATATATATATATATGAAATAATAAAAATTGTTGGTCAGAGTTGAATTAGACCTGGAAACAGTAGAGGTAAAAGTGCTCAATACACGTATAAAGAAAATTAGATCAGCCAATCATGCTACCCTGGTTTCAACTTTTTGGTATGTTCAGGCAATCTGGGCTAAATCATAAATGAAGAGACTAAAAGGTTGAAACCAAGGTAGTGTGATCAGCTGATCATTTAATACAAAAAAATAATTATATATATATATATATATATATATATACATACATATAATATTATCAATTCAGTAATACCAAAATCTGCAAATTGGAGTTTAATGTAACAAGAGTCATCAGGTAAAAATGATTGTTGTCCGAAGTTGCGGATTTTGGTATTATTGAATTAATAATATTATTAAATTTAAACTCTGTCATTAGCACTGAGCCCTCAGTTTATCTTATATTAGCTTTTATTCTTACTATATATATATATATATATATATATATATATATATATATATATATATATATTATAATTTTTTTTAAAAAATATGATTCCTTCACTACATAAAGAGTTCTCATGTTTTCCAAGAATGAGGCGAAACCATCAATATAATTATTAAAATAAAATTGAATTAAAGTAACAATCCCTGTTTCATCCTCAAGCGAAAATTTAGGAAGGTTTTCCTTGATGATGAAACAGGGCTTGTTACTTTAATTCAATTTTATTTTAATAATTATATTGATGATTTTGGCTCTCGTTCTTGAAACATGAGAACTCTTATGTAGCGAAGGAATCATATTTTTAAAAAAATAATTATAATCTAAGCTCTGCTTCTGTATGGAGCTCTGATTTTTTTTAAAAATAAAAACAAAAATACTAAAGAACTCTGGATTATTTACCTAATGTGTTCTTTTCTATTTTTCTACATACCTACACACACACACACACACACACACACACATATATATAATCGTCCTTAACGAAACTTATATATAGTTTAAAATTTGGTGTAATTATGTTGATAATGTACTCTCTTCCCCTCATTCATATATATATATATATATATATGAAAATAAAAGTTTGTCACGTAGCTGTTTGATGTTACCTTCAGCATCATAACTCCATAGTTTTGTAGACAGATCTGTCCATCCACTCTTCAGGGGATATCAGCAATTGACTGCTTATATTGTTTTTTCTTTTTTATGCATTTATATTTGGTGAAATTTTTTTCTGTATTGTTTGTGTGCATTCATTTGTGTGTGTGGCCATGTGCCTGTTTGTGTGGATGTGTATGCGCCTGTACGTGTAGGATGTTATGATTATTTTTCCTTTTCTTTATTTTTGAAAAATGATCACTGAAATTAAGTTCCTTCATATGCAAATACCTTTGGGAAAAGTATGAATCCATCTCTTCCCCACAAGCTATCGGTTAATTAGGATTTACATCAGTAAATCATTATTATCTCCAAAAAAATTCTTACAATCTAAAAATATTTTCTGGCTTAAAATAACTTGCAAATGGTTGATCAGCCATAAAAAACAAATCTATCAAACCATAATTTTGTGAAAATATTTTGATAATTTTAACACTTTGTCATTTTGTGTTGTTTTTTTTTTTTTTTCTTGTAGACTCATTGCAAAGTTTGTGGTGTTAGTGCCTCAGGAGTCCATTATGGGGTGCTAACTTGTAGCAACTGCCGTGTCTTCTTTTACAAGAGTTGTGAGCAAGACAATTTCAAAAATTATGAATGTTCTCATAAAAAATGCCTTGTTCATGGTGCCAGTCGTATCAACTGCTCTTATTGTCGATATCAACAGTGCCTCAAGGTTGGTATGTCAAAAGAATCCAGCAAAAGAGGTCGCCGCCGGAAAGTGGACGAAAATTCTTCAGAGAAGGATGTTTCAGATATTAAGAAGCAGAAATTATCAGAAAGCGTCAAAAAAGAGTAAGTGTTTCTTTAACAATTATTGCTTCAGAATTTGAAGTTTGATATTGGGGCTGTTGAACTTCAAAATGGTCAATGTTTATCGACTTCCTCTTCAACATTTTCCAACACCTATATATTTTTGAGATGAGGTATTGTAAATATTTAGACTATTTACATTGTTCAGACTGTTGTCCTCATCTTTACTGTCCCAGTCACAACGTTTCAGTCATTGTACGCTCAAGCCTTCTTCAGGATCTGTCCATATTTCTGAGATGAAGTATTGTAACTATTTAGACTATTTCCATTGTTCAGACTGTTGTCCTTATCTTTACTGTCCCATTCACAACATTTCAGCCGTTGTATGCTCTGTCCTTCTTCCTAAGCCGACCACGCATAGAAATAAATATAATATGGGAACCAGTAATCCAGAGAGCTAGAGAAAAACAGCAATAGCAAATGAGACAAAAAAAAAAAAATTGCAGTATGAGCTCCGTTAAAAATAGTAGTTGGGACATTAGGTTTATAAGTTGCAGAAATTCACTCACTTGTATTCCCAAGTGGATAAAAGTGTTGGTTGATTGATCAAAAAAAAATTAAGTAACCCAAAGAGTTGTGAGTTCAATCCCTGGCCTCAGTGAGGAGAAAAAACACTTGGAGAATTATCAAGAACTAAAAACTGAAATATCCAAAGGCATTGTACATGGAATTAGAACAATCTACCGCTGTGGACTAAATAGAGGACTTGGTTTGAAATTCCAACAAATATCACCTGAAGAAGGCCAGAGCATACTATGGATGAAATGTTTTGAATGTGACAGTAAAAATGAGGACAACATTCCAAACAATGTCAATAGTGTAAATATTTTCCAACACAGAAAGTTCAACAATACTATGTCACAAGCATTGAATTTCTCCTCAACAGAAAATGCTGCCACTTTTTAAATTTTGTTTTATATTTGACTTAGAGGCCATTTCAATTTTAAAAGGGGTAAGATCACTAAGTTTAACAAAATGAGACTGTTGAAAAGTAAAACCATAGACCAGGCATGGTGAAGTAATGGATAGCAGTTCGGATTGAGGAATCAGAGAGCCAAGTTCCAGTCAGATCCATTGCATTCACTTATGTCCAAATACCCTTGTGAAAGGTATGAATTCTCTTCTTTTCCTCCCAGCTATGGATAAATAGCAGGACTGACTGGGTTCTATAGCCTTGGGTGGCAACCGGTCTAGGAGAAAGTAACTTTGAATTCAAAACTGTATGTAGCCCTGGCGTAGCACAAACTATAACAGCTAAAGAATAGATTGTTTGCCTCACCAATCTGGAAATGTAACCAGCAATGTTCATTTCATGAGGCACTATTAAATAACTAATTAATTAGGAGGAATGGTGGAGTAATGGATAGCAGCTTGAATTGTGGAATCAGAAAACCTAGTTTGAATTCCAGTTGGGTTCGTTATATTCACTCTCATGTTAAGGTATGAATCTATCTCTTCCTTCCCAGCTATGGGTAAATAGCAAGACAGATTGGGCCATATAGCCTTGGTTGGCAACCAGTGTAGGAGAAGGAAAATTCTGAATTCAAAACCAGCCTGGAGTGAGTTGGCTTCCATCAAGCAGTTTTGCTCAGGAAACGCCATTTCTGCTGCAGCTGCAGTAGACATGGTGCTCTTAAGGGGTTACAGGATTTGTGATCGTACTGTCAATCAGGTAATCAAATCTGAGGAAGTACTATATTATGATAAAATAAGCAGAAATGGCTTATCAAAGTAAGTAAATCATATTTAGCTTTCCTGAAATAAGAGTCCACATTTGGAAATAATAAAAGGAAATATAAAACCAAAACAAGAACAGGAATATTTAAATTATGACATTGGTTCAAAATTATGACTGAATTGGTTCAAAATTATGACTGTTTTTTATTGTTACAGAGTATCATCTTCTATGTACCGTGTCCCTTCAGGACATTGGCAATCATGACTCTCTACAATTTCTTGTCTTTTGTAGCTCTTAATAAATTTTGTCTTTTTTGCTATCTCTCCTATGCCAACCATTTACACAAGCTTGTTCTTCTTCTTTGATTTGCCGTTTGCCTTCAGAATGTTGGCAATCATAGCTCGCCACAATTTCCTGTCCTTTGCAGCTCTTAATAAATTTTGTTTATTTGTTATCTCACCTAAACATTGTCCTGTCATCCATTTACTCAAGCTTGCTAGGAAGGTTATGCATTGCTTTTCTCTGTTCCTCTTGCTTTTAATCTGTACTGTGAGTATCGGATTTTCCAAGCCTGCTTTCCTCATTATGTACCCTAGAAATTTCAACAGCCACTTCTTAATTTTAAGTATAAGTGTCTTTTTTTTTTACATTTTCTCTAAAACTTGGTGTTGTTCACATGTTCAGTCCATGTTATTCTCTGCATACTTCTGTAGAACCGCATTTCTGTTGAGTCAAGTCTCTTCTTTATCTGTGAGGAGATTGTCCCACATTCACTGGAATTATAGGAGTGCTGATATTACACAACAGTTCAGTACTCTTTGCCTTGTTTCTAACAAAATTTTCCTGTTTCTTAATACTTTGCTTAGATTTTGGAATGCAGCTTTTTACTATTCCAATGCACCTTCAAATTTCAGTATTGCACTTTCTATTTTCTGTTGAAACACTTCCCAGATGTTTAAATTGTTGTACATTTGTGATTTTGATATCTAGGAATTGTAATTTGCTTGTTGGGCTGACAACTTTTGCTAACAACTATGCATTCCGTCTTTTTGCAGTTGATGTTTATTCCTTTCTTTTTATTTTACTTTACTACCTTCAGTAGGTGTTCTTGCAGTTTCCTTTCTGTGTCTGCAATCAAAACTGTTTCATCTGCATATCTGCCAATAATAAATCCTGTTAGGACTCCTAATTCTCTCAGAATCGTCTCACTGTATAGTTTGAATAAGTCCAGTGAAAAAACATCCTAATCTCCAGTCTTTATATTTTTGTATATTTGCTGAATTCATTTTCTATCTGTATGCAGGTGATTTGCTGCGAGAATAACTTCTGGAATATTCTAATATCCTTCCCAAATATGTCCAAGTTACCTGGCTGTTTGAACCATTCTTATCAAATGCTTCCCTCATTGCAATCTGCTCCACTAATTTTTTTTTCTTTTTTACATTAGACGCAGTTTGAATGAACTTCAACAACAAGCTACAAACAGCGTCCCTTGCATTGTTTGTGCAGATGTCTCGTGCGAGATCTATTGTGGCCTGTGGGTATGTCACAGCTGTTGCAAATTCTTCAAATACAGTATGGAAGATGACCGTTATGACAAGTACAAATGCAAATATGGCAACCGGTGTGTGATCAACAAGAATAGCAGGGACACCTGCCACAGTTGCCGCTTCAAGAAGTGCCTCATTGTTGGAATGGTTAAGGAACAGAATGACCGGGAAAATGGGAAGCGTAGAGAAATTATACGGTTAGTGTTGTCTATTTTTTTTTTTTTCTAGTATGTCAACCCATGTTGGGTATTTTAATGTTGAATTCTCATATAAGGCCACCCAGCAATGATTGAACTCACTACTCATTAGTAATGATCAACATGACTAGTCTTATAAAGCATTACCTTATGCTGAAAGTTAAGAATGATGATGTTTTTTTTCATCAATTATCTGTCTCTCTCTCTCTCAAGGTGTTGCGATTAAGCTTTTTATTTAATTTTTTTTGTGTTCGTACAAGTGTTTTCTTTTCTGGACAAAAAGTGTGTAAAGACTGCCCAAAAGTTTTGCATATCTGAGCACTTTTGGCTATTCTTTTAGCCATTATCAAGGATGATTTTTATTTTTATTTCTTTTTTTTTTATGTATGTGTGTAAAGTTAGAGGAATATTTTATTTTCCAAACACAGTCAGCAAAATGGGCCAGCACAACCATGCAACAAAATTATAACAGTACATCAGTGAAGGTTTTAAAACAAACACTTATTTAAGTTTGGTTCATTTTCTTTTTTTTTTTTATTATTGTTGCAGAACGGAAAAGACGATATTGATGTGCAACCCTCGGCAGTTTCCCTGCAAGGTGTGCGGCGACCTTGCCTCAGGCATCCACTATGGCCACTTTATCTGTGAGGGTTGTAAAGGCTTTTTTCGACGCAGCATTCGTAAAAAGATGAACTATTTGTGCATTGGCAAGAATTGTATCATTAACAAATTCACACGTACACGCTGTGCTTATTGCCGCCTGCAGAAGTGTCTCATGTTGGGTATGTCAAAGGAGGCCTGCAAGAAAGGTCGGCGCCCCAAGGCAAAGCAGTTGAAACTGATGAGCCAACCACGGGAAGAATGCAGGATTTATGAGGAATACAGGAAACCTGCGTTAATGGTTAGTAATTGGGTCAACTCGGTCAATTCCCAAGATCCAGCTGAAGAACCAGAAGATGGAGAGGTTCCTGAAATGTAAGTTTTCATCTATTTTTCACTTTTTCATTTCATGATCTCATTCTAAAAGCTTAAATTGTTGAAACGGGAATACACTGCTGGTCAAAACCTTAAGGCGAATGAAAATAAAGAAACATACCTTTTGTCTTGTTAGAAGACTTGTTACACTTATTTGAGTAGAGCTTTGAAAAATTAAAATAAGAAAAGGACAAATAAATATTAAAAACATTTTTGAAGCTTTACTCAAATAAGTGGTTGAGTCTAACAATGCAAAAGGTATATTTTTTTCTATATTTTTGTTGGTCAGCAGTGTATTTCCAAGAAAAAATCTATTTCGTGGTTCAGAAAGAGAAATCACATAGCTGAATTTGAATTCCACTTGGGTTCATTACATTCCCCTACATGCAAATACTCTTGGGAAAGATCTGAATCTATCTCCTCCTCAGCTATGGGTTAAATAGTACATGCATTTGAAAATAATCATTATTCCTAAAAAAATTATATCCAAAGGTTTGATCAAAATGTATCAGGACTGTTGTTATGGTAAAGGAGCTAAAGTACACAGAATGAAGCCTCTTGGCACTGATTGACTTTGAGCACATACACACTAAGTTATAGCATTCTTGCTCACTTCTGTTGTTTATGGGAGTACTTGGCAGGAAAGTGTCATCTCACCTCACCAAAGAGGTTCCATCATATAACCATGGCTTGTGCAGCAGTTTTGGGCCAAAGAAAACATTCCCCAGATTTTATCCCTTACAACTTTTTCCACTTCCCAAAAATCAAATCCATCTTGAAAGGAACAAGATTTCAAGACATTGAGGAAATCCAAGAGAATGCATCAAGGTATCTGCTCATTATTCCAAAAAATGAGTTCCAGTAGTTAGGAATGTTGATTTCATCCTTTTTATTATCATCCAATGTTTTAGCCAATCTATTCTCCAGCCTTCCTTTGCTGTATCTGTGACTCCAGCTTAAAAAAAGAAACACAAAAAAAACACCCTCTCTTTCTATACAAATTGTACACCTGAGGAAGAGAAAACAATGACTGGGGAAAAAAACTCTATGTAATATTTTTACAACTGACAAAATAGCATCATATGAAAGGTACAGAATGTGATGAGGGTGGAATTGGTGAACACTTTTATGTGTTAGTGAACAGAGACTTTTGTAATAATACTTATATCAAAAAAGCGTAAATCTTAAATTTTCTCAATTTGATAAATATTTTTTCTTCTTCTGGATTCAGCTTGTCTGTTTTGAATTGAATCTCTCCCGGTTAAAATTATATTTTCTTCTAAACAAATCACTCTATGTAAGGCTGATGGAGTTTACTAAAACTTAAATTCATTTATTGCAAAAGTTGTTTGAACTCTGTTGATTTAATTTTTTTTGTTCACACCTAATGTTTCAGCCGATCCATTCTGCAATCTTCCTTTGGTGTATCTGTGACTCTGGCTTTAAAAAAAAGAGACACCCTTTTATTCTATACAATTTGTACACCTGAGGAAGGTGATTCTTGCAGAACCCTCTGTGTAATAATTTTACAACTGATAAAATAGCATTCTATGAATGGTACAGAATATGTTGAGTATAAATTAAGTATAAACCTTAAATCTCTCACTTTGATAAGAATTTTTTTTGTTTTCTGGATTCATCTCTAGTGATAGAAAAATAAAAAGATCATTATTTCAAAAGTAAAAAAATATAGAATGGAAAGCTAAAAGTTTGGCAAACCATTTTGTTTTGCCATAAAAAATAAAAAACAAAGAAGAAAAAATAAATAAATAAAAAAAAAAGAGGCCAAAAGTTTATCTTTACTAAATGAGGTGAAATAAAAGGGATTGTTAAATGAGTCATTTCTGGAAGCAATCAAAATCAAGAACAATTCGGGAATGAATTCTTTTGTCTTTAAAAAATAGTGTTAACATAGTGATGAGCAGGCAAATGGACCAGACCAGCTGCTGAAAAAAATTTCATCCGCTGTCCCTTACCCTAAAGCTTTGAACACTCTAAAAATCCCACAGAGTCGAAAGAATTACTATCAAGAAATACTTACATACCTACATACACATTAACAAAGACTCTTCTCTCTCCACACACACTCATCTCTCTCTCTCTATTATATATATATATATATATATATATATATATATAATTCTCAATGTGTGTGTGATCAGATGTTGTTTATGTGTTTCCACAGTTTTCATTTGATTTTTTTGTTTGATAGGTAATTCTTTAGTGCCGGTTTTGAGTTTAAATTGTTGGTGACAATAGCTGTGGAGCTGTCCATTATAACTCTCATCAATTTTTTACTATTTACTGTCTGTTCTTTGATATATATCTTTCATAAAAACTTTAATGAAAATAAATAGTTTAAATTATTACAATAATATTATCTATAATTCTCAAAATGTGTGTGTGTGTGTGATTGAATGTTGTTTATGTGTTTCCGTAGTTTTCATCTGATTACGATGAAATTTCTTTTGTTTGATAGATAATTCTTCAGTGCTGGTTTTGAGTTCAAATTGGGTGGAAAAAATTACAACATTGAAGGTGAAAAATCAAGAAGCTTTAATCTTTTTTTGGGTTAACTTTGAACTTAAACTGCTCTAATTGAATGGCAAAAATTCCCAGTAATGAAAGACCTGGTTGAAGACAGGTTATACTGCTAATATATATATAATGTTAAAGACTTAAAGACTTTCAGCACAAGAACTTTCTGATATGAACCTATTAACTCTTTGAATATTATTGTATATTTTATTTAGAGAGATATATATCTTTGTATTAATTATCTTTGCATGCATTTTAAAAAGATCATAAATTGGTATATATTTTGGATAAAGGACATTATCTGAAGATAACCACCTGTAAACAAGTAAACCCTTATTTTGGTGACTTCCACATTAACAGACAACCACATTAGTTCTTTGACTCCCACATAGCTACTCTGTTTTGAAGTGTGTCTCTTGTGGCTAAAATTTGTTAGATCCTGGTAAAAATTTGTGCCTCTTCCTTGTTATCAGGCTTACTACAAGGGTCATGGTAAAATTATACACAGGAAACATTCAGCATTCATTGACTGAACAGTTAGTGTTACTGTTGGTTGAAATTTATAAAATCCGAACTGTTTCTAAAGTTTGTGGTTTTTCTGAAGCAGTGTTATTTTTGTTAACTCCCATCTCTTTGCCCTCTTTACCAAATGCCCCCTACTATTGTTGTCTCAACACTCTTCCTTGCCATACATTACAAGAAAAAAGGAAAAATCTTTCTTGATTTTATTTAAAATTAAAAAAATATGACAAACTGGAATGGTTTTTTGTGACACATTTCATCTGTTAGGATTTCATCGGGTCACAAAAAAGTAAAAACCTTTTCAGTTTGTCATATTTTTCTAAATACTGTTTGTTGAAAATTATGCAAAATTATATATCATTATATCATTGTATTTTTAATTTAATAGATTAAATTTAATATTTCCAATAAGAAAAATATTTTACTGTATTTCAAAACTAGTTTAAATTGACTGGAAGGAGTTTTTTATATTTTTTTTGAAATCGCTAAAATCAGCACCATTTTTTTTAGCCATCTGTCATCACAATGTATTTCTCTTAAAAAATCTTTCAAAAATAAAATGTACTTTTCTGAAACTTTATTTGAGAAATATTAGTTGATTTAAAGTTTAATTAGTCTGATTTGAAACAAATATTACTGACTTTTAGCTTAAAATATTGCAGAAATGAATTTTTAACACTGAGGTAGGTGTTTAGTTTAAGGTATTGACAGCTTCACTGACAGTCAAAAGTTTATCTAATTTTCTGGTGGGAGGGGGGAACATATTTGTAAAAATTACTTGATGAATTTATTATAATGTGAGCACCTTTTTATATAATTTTTACAGTAATCTTAAACATTTAGCAAAATATGCTCCTTAATTTAATTTTTTTTTAAATTTTGGGTAATTTGGTTTTGAATTTACTGTAGTTATCACTTTTATTTTTTGATAATGTCGTGTATGGACGTCCGTATTTACAAAAATCGGCACGTTTATGCACATACAAAAAAAAAAAAAAAAATTCTTTTTAAAATATTGGAAGTGGGGTCGCTGAATTGTACTAATTTCCATTAGTAAATATAGTTTTTAAAAACAATATCACCTTTAACCGGTACAAATTAACATAGAAATTTAAACTTTAGAAGTTAATTAAAATTTAAAAAAACTGAAAACAATTCTTGTAAAAATTTATTATTCATGGAAAAAAAAAAATCCGTAATATCTTCTTTCATAAAAAGCTTTTCTAATGTAATGTCTTAGTTTTATTACATTTTTTTTTAATTCTATTATTCAGAGCAGATTTTCGGTAACTGGGGGTCGTGTTTTACAAAAAAAAAATAAAAAAATTGATGATTTAAAAATTCTCCAAGGATTTCTGCATATACATTTTTAAAGCCATGCAAAAATCAATTGCTCAAAAGATTTTATAAAATCAAATAGTGGAGGCAGGGTAAAAATTTAAAAAAAAGAAAAAAAAAGGAATGTTTTTACCAAGATTTTCTACTAAAACAGAAACATTTTAAAAATAATTTAATTCATTTGTTAATAAGTCCTGAAAGTTTCATTAAAATCCGACAACTATTTGATTTTTAAGAATCCAAATCAATGTGTTTTTCACCGCAAAAGAATGACGCTAAAATTTCCTAATGTCTGGTCTCTCCTCCACCGCCTGCTGATTTTTAAACAAAATTTCGAACGCTCTAAAAAGGTTAAAATAAAATAATTTAATTAAAAAAGAAAAGATCCTTTCGCCTTTCCTAACATCAAAAAGTTTTGGTTTGACGATAAAGCATTAAGTTTGGTTTGGTGCATTTTTTTCACCATACGACGTATGATGCCCAATTTTTATTTTTAGCGAGGTACCTTCTTACCTACAGTAGACAACGAAAAACGCATTATTGAATTTTTCCACATTGTTATTCAGTTGCCTAATTATTCTGATATATAGAAATTTTATATACCATATATAAACAAAATAAAAAATACTTAATATCGACTCATTCTTAAGAATAGAAAAAAAGTTTCTAATGAGAATGAGATACATCTTCTTCTTAGAAAAAGATTTTTGCAACTTATAGATGTGATTTTTTGTTTTAAATCATTTCTTGAAAAAAAAAGTTAAGTTTTATACTATTAATGTGGAAGAAAAGGCTTTATTAAATACGATGTCTTTTTTTTTTTCTTTGGCTTCCTTAAAACCTGTAGCTATGTTGATGGCTGTCCAAACCAGACCGGATGTCCGGTCACGTTCAGGAAATAACGTTCCTTCCTTTCTTGACCATCTAATTTTATCTTATTTCACTTGTCTTCGTGGCTACTAGGTTTTCTCACAAATACAGTTTTTTGGTCGTTTTAACGTTGACGCGAGTAAAGCAATTTAAATTTATTTAGCTGCTCCTCCTCCTCCCGGATGGTAGGTTTGACACAAGGTCACGATTAACGTGTAGCCTTGTAAAGGGAATTTTTGAAGTTGAAAAGTGTTTCTTCTTTGACGTATCTTGGATTCATTTCAGGGCAGTTTTTAGTTCAAAACTAGACATTTTTTTATTGATTCTTTTTCAACTACTTATTTTTAATCTGAAAGAGAAAAGAAAATCAAGTGTTTAAAAAAGAAAAGAAAAAAGGCTAGAACCAGATATATCTGAGTGGACATAAAAAAAACGTTTTTTATCACCTGAATTTCGATTATATTTCATTTTTTTGCTGATCTTTAGTGTTTTTAGCGTTTTTTTTCTCCATTTATTAATAACGTATTTAATTTAAAAACGTATTTAATTTAAATGTTTTTTCGCTATTCGTAAATTCTGAATTGATTTTGAGTGCGCGTTTTTTTTCCCAATTATAACAAAAAAAAAAACATTGTCTAGAGAAGGTCATCGTTTCTTCACAACACAAACGTTTCGTCTCTCTCTTTCAAGATGGATGCATTATTAATTACGTAATTTAAATAAATAAAAAATAACAACAATCCAATCATCCATCTTCTAAACTTAAGATTCTTATTTTTAGTAGTTTATTTTCAATGATGAAACCTTTTTTATAAATCTTCCAAACCACCTTTTAATTACTTTTTAAAAATTGGTAGAATTTTATTCACATTCTCCTTTGAATTCATTAATTAATTCTTCCTCATCAACAATTTTGTTATTTTTTTTATTTTTTTTTTTTTTATCACTGAACAAAAAAAAAATCAAATACCTCATTTAGTCATTTAACAATTTACCTTTCTGGATAAATCACTTTGAAAAAAAAAAAATTATCCTTTTCAATTTTGAAAGAATAGAGACCTATTTAATTTCTTTCTGCAATTCCTGCCATCACTCCTCCAAACTTTTAACATTTGTCATCACAATTTGGATTTATACATCTTCTTCAGTCTATCAACTTATTTGACGCTTAAGTTCTCAAAAGAGAAGTTGTTTAGTTTTTTAGTGCTTCTCTTTTTGTGCTATCAAAGAATCTCTCTAGCGTAAATTATCAACAATGGGAGGAATTACTTCAAAATATTGGTATGAAGACGATGATAGGGACATGTAAGTATCATTCAATAAAATAACTTATTTGCATTGTTTATTAAAAATTGACTTTATCGCTCTCATAACCATTTTTTTCGTATATCAACAACTTTGTGAAACGAAATTTCTTCCAATTTTTTTAATTTTGAAAAAAATGTTGAAAATGTTTTTTTTTTTCGGGCTCTATTTTCGTTTCATTTCTGATAGATGACTTTTTTTTTTTCAAATCCAAAGGAGGTACTTTTTGGGGTGTGGGTCGTTTATTTATTTATCTATAAAGTAAATTTTCTAACGGCAACTTTTTCTTTTTATTAAGCCGCCCCGTCCCAAACTGAGACCACCCACTCCAATTTTTTATTTAATTTAAAAACTACTCATCATCTGAGAGTAGCTAAAACACATTTTTATTCTAAATTATTAAGAAGATTTGTTGATCACATTGTTGAATTATTTCATTTTTTACTAGGCACCACCAAACCAAAAATGGATGCATTTTTTTTTTTCGAAATGAAACCGCCCGCAAAAATAAATAAGAAAAATCAGGGAATTGTCCGATTTAAATTAAGATTTCAGTACTTATTCAATTCATTGATGAATGAATTGTAAGAAAACTTTGTAGAAATATTTTTGGTAGGACCATTTTTACCCCTTTTCATTTCGATACGCCTTAAATTAAAATTGCAGGGTAGGTCGATGGATGACAAATAAATGTTTTTAATTTTTTTTATATTTTTGTTAAGGTACTTCCACTAATTCTATATACGTAAAGTTTAAAATGAATTTTCGAAAATGAAAAGACCTTATTTTTAGCTTTAAAGGATTTTTAAAGTTTACTATTTCACGTAAGCAAAATACTCTGGTGATGTGCTTCAAACAGAAATTATATTGATCGGAATCGCTAAAATCGGCTATTTTGACACATTTGTGAACAAAAGTTAATTCTCGGTTTTAAAAATCTTGCAAAATTAAAAAAAAATATTTATGATTGAGAAAAATTAGAAAATTTCAAGTTAAATTAATCTGCTTTGAAACAGATATTACTTATAAATTTTTTTTTGATAAAATGTTGGATCCAAGCATTTCTTAAGAACTGGCTCTTGTTTTTCTGACCTATTGATCGATTTATTGAGCGCCTAAATGTGTTGAAGTATGGGAGACAACCCTTAAAATCAGTAACCATTTAAATGTCATGTATGAACTAGCATACTTAGAAAAATTAGAACATTTTATACACAAAAAAATTTAAAAATGTTCAGGAGGTATCAGATTGTAATAAGCATTACAATATATGATTATAAAATATAATTTTACATAACAATATTTCCTAAGAGTTACACAATTGAAACTGAATTTTTAAAGATTTAAAAGCTCATTCAATTTATTTACAGTATTGTCTTTATTATATATTAGTCATAAAAGCAATTAAAAGTTTCTCTACTTAAATAATATCTTAGTTTTATTGAATTTTTTATTTTATGATTCTGAATAGATTTTTGGTAAGATGGTCTGATTTTGAAAAAAATTTGGTGATTAAAATTCTTTAAAAAAATTCTGCTTTTAGCTAATATAGTTACTAAAATATATCACATTGAATTTCTCAAGTTTTCATAAAATTAAGTGGGTGAAACACTAAAAAAATTTTTTTTTTTTTCGTTTGTGAATAAGTCCTGAAAATTTCATTAAAATATGACAATTTGATTTTTGCAAGAATTTCTAAATTATTGTGTCTGTCACTGCATAACAGAGGCTAAAATTTGCTATGATAAAATTTAGTACATCAGTTGACACAAAAAAAAATAAATGTAATGGATAAAAAAAAATGTTGCTTCATTTTATTATTTTAATATAAAATTAATATTCTTATTAAAAAATAGTCTAAATTTAATAAGAAATAATTTTATTTATAGAATAAAAATATATTCCTATAAAATTAGTTATAGGAGTTTAAAATGATTATTTTAAACTTAAACGAAACCAGTTTGTATTTTGAGGCAATTTTTTGTAACAGTGGTTGTCTCAAGGGTTACGTCTATTGCTTGACCTATGAACTATGACAGTTGGAATATACCCTGCTCTGTTCATATGTGCTCTTCACTATATTTTAAGTGTACAATAAGTAATATTTTTCCAGAATTCTGTTGATCTTACTTTTATTTTACTAATTTTCGTTGAAAGTAATATCTAGGATGGATATTTGAGTTTTAAACATTTTTTTTTCATTTGGAATCAAAATTTAAATAAGGGACATTTGAATTATTTTTTTTTTTTTTTTTAGCTAAAATTATGCTACCTATTTTTTTTTTTTTAATTATGGGGGTAAAATATTTGATTAAAATAAAATTCAAATGACATTTTTTGTTTTATTTCTGTGTATAACCTTTCAGACCCAAAATAGAGCTCAGAATATGAGGCTAGTTCAAGAAATATAAGGGAAAATCAGTATTTGCTATGTGAAAAATGCTTACAGTGGTTAAAAAAATATTGATGGTTGTTTAAGATTAAATCAAAATGTGGTATGGTTTTCAGACACTTTCCAACAGTGTTTGTCTCCCCCAGGCCAGTAACACCAAGAAGTCAACTCCTGGCAAATTGACTATGTTGAGAGTTGAACCTGGGTTTCATAGTTGAAAACCAAACATACTAATCACTCATCAATGTGCCCATATCCATACTTGTGTCGTACTTAACTGAATAAATGTTTGTAATTCTCTCTATAACTTTGTCTTTCTTAATTTCTGTAAAAATGTTTTTTTTTATTTTTTACTTATTTCAGAGTGTACTTGGATTACAATGCCACAACACCTCATGCCCCTCAAGTGCTTGACATCATCAGTCAGACTTTAAAAAACAAATGGTTTAATCCGAGCAGCTCATATGATTCAAGTAAGTGACTACCACTTTTTTAGGTGTTTGTTGCACATTGTTAGAGTTCTGGGAAAGAAGCTCTCTGAGTGGAGCTACCATTGGAATCTGAAGGGAATGGGAATGAGTCGACTCAGTGTATGCGCTATGGTGGTTCTTAGCTGTGAAGGACTGGACTAGTGAATCCAAGGAATGCCTAAGGCTAGAAAAACCTGACAAAACATTTGCCATTGCACTATCAATGTGTGTTTTAATCCAAACGAAATTCTTGGTGAACAATGGGTGCATTGGAAATGAACGATTATTGGGTTCTTAATAAAATAAACACTTCAAATACCTTCACTTAAACAAAACAAAGAAACTGCCATGTTATTTCAACAAAACATGAAATATTTTGTCAGAAGTTCAGTGTGTGACTGAACAAAAGGTTTTGTATAGATGCTGAATGGATATATCTAAAAGTAACAATGTAACATTCTTGTGCTATATCTATGTCAGTAATAGAGCATCTCTTGGGGGGGTGAATGTAAGTACACACTTTTTAAGATTATGTGAATAAGAAAGTTTGATATAACAATGTGTTTGACAGCAGAATCTCCACATTTAAAAACTGGTTCTCATGTGATCACTGAAGTTAAGCAATGTTGTGCTTGCTCAGTTCCTAGATGAGTGACCACTTGGGAATACCAGCTGTGAAAGCTTGGATGTGTGAGTGGTTTAATGGATAACAACTTGGAATTGGAAATATAGAGCTGAATTCCAATTCCAGTCAGGTTCATTATATTCACATGTTCAATATCCTCAGGAAAGGTATGAATCCATTTCTCCAGCATCCATGGGTTAATTAGTAAGACTTTATCTCCAAAAGATTTTTAAAATCTAAATATTTTCTGGCTTTAAAATAACCTGAAAAGGGTTGATAAGTTGTTAAAAACAAAAAAAAACTGAATTGACAGTAGAATACTTTTAAATTTTTGCAGAATTTTATTCCAATGCTTTGCTCTCTTGTCCAGTTTGATTTCCATTGGTGAAGTTGTTGCTTTTGTCTGAATTTATCTGTTCCATTTCTTTGTTAAAAAAAAATAAAATGAAATCAGTCAGAAACATGTGGCTATCTTGGAGTTTTGCTGTTATTAACCAGAATGATATCACTGTGAGAATTTATAGTAACATCATCAATCAAGCATCTGTTAGAGAATCTACTTTGGCTTTTAATCTCTTGTTGCATTGAGCTCTATTTGTTTGTGAATCAGTATATTCCAAATATCGCTTTTTCATTCAATCTTTTTTTTTTTTTTTTTTTTCAAAACCTTGTACGTCTTGAATGTTTATTTCTTACTCTGTTTTGAAATTTGTTTTGGTGACTTTTTTTTTTTTTTTTTCAATAATTTTGTGCGAATTAACACTTTCACTGCTACTTATTTGCCCAGTGCTGCGCCCATCCGGCCAGCCATTTTTAAAGAAAATGCCAAATTTCAATCTACATATTTTATTACACAGAAAACTGGCACCAGTGTGTTTTACAGCCTTCCATTTTCATGGATATACCTGGGAATGACTTACCAGATCAGTAATGAGTATACACATGATATCTTTTGAAGAATTTTCCTTTGTGGTTTTATGATAGATGGCGCAACAAGACACTCATAACAGTGGTATGCAAAAAACGTAGGTTTCTGTACTTAGCCAGCTGGAGCAAGATAAGAAAAACGAAGATCTCCGTAGTTAGCAGCGGAAGTGTTAATGAACCCTCAAAATGCTTGTTATATTAAAAAATTACCAAAACATTTTAAATTTAAAACATATGCATTAGCAGAAAAATGTGGCTGGAAAAAATTTGGGGAGAGCCTAGGAATCATGATTACAATATCTACAAAAATGTCATTAATGTAAAAGGAAAAAAAGAAAAGACAATTTCAGTTCCCACAACAGACAACTAAGAATAATTGAAGATACTCTTTGGATACAACAGGTAAATTATTTGGCGGGAGGGTGGGGGATGAAAATTTATCAATTGGTTTTATTTATATTATTGACAATGTTCCAGAAAGTTGTCTTGTATTCTTTCAAGCTACTTTAAAATATTTTTCTTCTTTTCAGCTCACGGTGCTAAAGACACAATTGAAGATTCTCGAGAGCAGGTTGCCGAAATGATTGGTGCTTCTGTCAGTGGTAAGGAACAGATCTAAACATCTCAAAAGAAAGTTGTTTCTATCAATGCAAGCTCCCAAAAGTGTTCTTTTTGACAGTTATTCAAACGTTGACGGGGATTTTCAATTCAATTTTTATTGCATTAAAAATTGATAGAGATCCTTGACAAAATCCAAAGAAGAATCTGCAATGTTATTGCCCAAGACCTGGCATCTTAGTAGAGTTGGTTGGTTTGGCAATTTATGTTTTGGTATAGGTTTCTGTTTTTGTTTTTTTTTCCTTGTTACTGCAGTTTTCAATTCGGTTTTTAATTTAGTATTTTTGCTTTCTAAAGAAGCCATTCATTTTCTTGTGTAATGATAGCATTTCCATTCGATATCTGATTTCATTTGAGATTGATAAATTTGCAACTTAGTCCATTCAACTCACAATTTCTCGTGTATATCTGGTCCAATCTTGAAAATATTCATATGGCTGGAAAGAAAATAAAATAAAAATCTTTCTAAATATGTAATTTGTATGTGCTTTTATTCATTGAATTATTTTTTATAGCAAGTTAAAACAATATTTTGCTTTGAACAGCTGAAAATGCAAAAAGAAAAGTGTAAAGATGAAACCAAAAAAAATCGTTTTTTTTTTTTTTCTTCTACTTTCTCTTTACAAATTTAAGTGCGATACTAGATTGGTGGCAAGGTCTCATCATTTTTTTAGTAGTTAGATGTAACCAAAGTTCTATGCTAACATTTTCTTCTCTTGCACTTCTTGCTTGTCGAAATCTCTTCTGGCTTCTTACTTCCCAGTCAACTTTGATCTTCAAAAATTAAAATGCAATGTCAATCTTGATCTTCTGTCTCATTGAATTGAGTAAGTGCACAAAATTGTAAGACAGAGATGTATCTTTGCACTGGATTTGAGCTTTACAACAAGGCTATTCTAAGTGAGCTGGAGAGATCCTATCAGAATTTATTATTGTTGAGCACAATCTTAACTATATAAGTTAATACTATATTGATCATAGACACAAAAATATGACTACAGGGCCTCCTAGACGGGATAGTAAAGGAAAATGGGAAGAAAGGACTAATTATCAATTGTAAGAAGATAGAATGTATGGTTGTCAGCAAGATAAAAAATCCAAGATGCGAGCTACAAGTTGGAGATGTCAAAATCAAACAAGTACAAAAATTGAAATATCTCTGATGGAAGATGTGACAGTAAAATATGAAGACACATTGGAAAAGAGAAAGATGCTTTTCAAAAACTAAACAAAGTATTAAGAAACAGAAAAATTTTGTTAGAAACAAAGAAAAGGATTCTGAACTTCTATGTAATATCAATCCTGCTATAATGGCAGTGAATGCTGGATAATTTCCTTGGAGATGAAGAGCTGACTTCAAGCAACAGAGATGTGTTCTTACAGAAGGGTTCTGAGAATACTATAGACGGTGTATATAAGCAACAAGGAAGTTTTAAGGAAACTGGAAACGAAGAAGAGACAGTTGAAATTTCTGGGACAGATAATAAGAAAAGAAGAGCCCGGAAAATTTGATACTCACAGGACATTGACGTCAAGAGGGACAGATGAAAGCAGTGAGTAACCTAGTATTGTGCTTGTGTAAAAGGGTGGCAGAAGAGAGTCTGAGAAAGAAAGAAAGTAAAAAGACAAAGATTGCTATGAGCTATAAAGGATAGGAAGCTGTGGAGAGCCATGATTGCCCATGTTCTGAAGGGACATAGCACAAAGAAGAAGAATATAATCTAATTAAGACATACTATTATTTCATACAGTTACAAATCCTGTTGTCTCATTTTTGGTTTTCTAACCTTTTAAATCACCCAAATTTGATGAAAAAACATTACTCATATGTACTATATATATTTTAATTTATTGTTAGTATAAGTGACTATTTTGTTGAGCACCTATTGCATTATTTAGTTAAATGATCTGATAAGAGTGTAATCTGATCATGAAGTTTGGACACTAGGATTGAAACCTGTACTAAGTACATTAGTCATACTTTCTTTCAAAATAATTTGGAAATGTTTACTTTCAAATTGAAAATGACACCAGAAAGTCTCTGTTTTGTTTCATTTGTGATTTTATTAACAATTTCAAAAGCTTTACTGGCAAACCTCTTTTTGATTGTTTCTGTTTATTATAATTATGATGATTGTAAGCCCTTCTGGTCCCACTAGGGAATGCTGGGAGCAAAACATATCCAGAAGCAGTTTTGAATGTAGTTGCTAAGTTTACCACTTCTTGTGTCTTCTTTGTTTTGATTCATCTTTTCAGCAGGCAGTCTTATAAATTTTATCTTTCCATCCTAAGTCCAGTGGAACAGTTTACTCAAGGGAAGTGGTTTATTTATAAAAATTAACTTAAAATAAAGACTTATTTTTGTTTGCTCATTATAAAATGTATATTTATTGCTCATGATTATTGTATTGGAAAAGTGCAGAGAATTCAATGCAGTATTTACTGATATATTTATTAAATTAACCTAAATATTTTTTTTTAAATATTGCATTGTAAAGTTGATTAAAAAAAATCATTTTAATTTTCAACGATTTGTTAATATTTTTTTATTCTTTTTCCAGAAATTGTTTTCACATCTGGTGGAACCGAAGTAAGTTGCTTTCAATTCCTAAAAAGTCTTTTAAGAATATGTTAACAGCATTTTGTCTTGAAATGATTCCTATTCTTCAATCTCTCAGTTTATATTTTTTCATCATAAATTGGATTCTCTTGTTTTCATCTGTAAATATTTTGCAAATCTTGCATTTTGTATATATGGTTGCCTTGTGATATACGTTGGCTTAACTCTTTGTGAAAATTTTAAATAAAAAGTCAAATTTTGAAATGGTGTGTATCATGATATCACAATCAGATGAATACATTGTTGTTTAAATATATGTCTCCAAAATGAAGCTTCTTTTTATAAATCACCTGAAAGACTCCTTCCTGTCCCCCATTAGCATGGCAGATACTAACCTCCATAAAAAAGACTTAAACCTTCTCAGGTTTAGATTCTTGGCTGACTTGAAGTGGAAAGCCTATATTGAATCCAATGCTAGGTCTGCAGCTAAGAAAGTTGGTTTACTGTGCTGTGCTAGACAATTTTTCTCACCTGAATCTATCTTACATATCTATATGTCTACTATCCATTCAGGCTTTGAATATTGCTGCCACAAAATTAAACATAACTATATATGTGGATTTATGATAAAAAAAGCATTCGTTTTTTTCAGCATAATCTTTGTCGTTGAACTTGGTGGTCGATATTTATTACATAGTTCAAAATTCAGCGAATGAATGCATGCTATATTACAGGTTTATTGATGCAGCCTGATATATTTTAATATTTATGTATTTGAACTTTATATAATGTAATGTTGTTGTAGATCTGCATGTGTAAATCAATCATTTTGAGTTTAACGTCTATCCGATAAGGTGTTTTACTCCAAATTGATTTTGAAATCTTACTTTGAAACCTTTTAAAATAAATACAGACCAGGAGAAAACTTGTTTGCCATGAAATATCAAATATTACTGTTAAATCTGGTCTGGTGCTTCTGCTATATATTTAGAGTTTCTTGATAAATATTCAAAGAATCTGCAATGTTATCAGTCCTGACCTGGCATCTCTGCTTCAGTCACTTTCCCACTGCCATAATGTAGCTGCTCTGTGCCTTTTCTATAAATATTTTCATGGTAATTGTTTTAATGAGCTTTCCTCTTTGGTATATTTATGAATTTAAGTGTATTACTAGATTGGCATCTAGGTCTCATTATTTGACAATTGAAATGCTTAGATGTAACTGTTAGTTTTATGCTAATAGGTTTTTTTTTATCACACTTCTCACTTGTGGAACTCTTTTCCGGCTTCTTGCTTTCCAATCAAATTTGATCTTAAAAAAATTTAAATGCAATGTCAGTTATCATCTTCTGTCTTAATTTCTGTTCTTTTATTGTTTTCTCTCTTTAATAATGTTTTTCTCATATTCTTTCACATTCAGTAACCTCTTGCATCTTAGTAGCTTTATTACCTTGCTTGGGGTGAAATGATTGAAAAAAAAAAATTTCTTTTTTTTATTATTTTCAGAGCAACAACATGATTCTTCAGACTGCCATAAAGTATTTTCATGAAAAATGTCTGTCAAATATTTCTCCCTCAAACAAGAATGTTTTGCCACATTTTGTCACTTCGAACCTTGAGCATGATTCTGTCAAGCTGGTGCTCAAGAAGTTTGTTGAAGAGAAAAAAGCAGGTCAGTCAGTGCTTGTATTAAAATTATTAAGCATAAAGCAATGATTGAACAGATTCCAATTAGACTTTTTTTTTTTATATAATAAATGATAAATCTTCACACATTGTAGCAAACCGCACTCATCCCTTCTGTATTCCATTGGTGAAAAGTAAGTTCCTCTCAAGCAGCTTCTCCCATGAACCACTGCTCTGTGGAACCAACTACCAGGAGGATGTTTTCCTTGATCACTACAATCTTGTCCTGTTCAAGTCTATGGTTAACCTTTATTTCCCCACATATCTGCAAAAACCTTGCTTCTTACTCCGTAACCCTCTACCTTGAGTATCTCCTGTGCCTTGTACAGGGTGAACCTAACTGTAAAAAAAAAAAAACCCAAAAAACTGAACAATATACATTATCAAACTGATGTTTCTCCCCCCCTTCATTTATACATTAAAATGAGGTATGAGCGTATATTTAGGTTTTGTGTTGTGTTTTCCTTTTCATAAAGATGTATTGGTTATTTTGCTTATTGCTCAGTCTTCATTTGATTTGATTCTCTGCTTATGTTCTCTAATTTCCTAGAGGTCAGCTTCGTGCCTGCCTCACTGAAGACTGGTTCTATACAAGTGGAAGATATCATCAAGAATATTCGTCCCAACACCGTCATGGTGACCATTATGGCAGCCAATAATATCACTGGCATCATTCAGGTGAGAGACAGACCAAAGTTGTGCTTATTTGAAAATTCTGCTTTCTTTTAGTTTTTGGTTTTAAAGGAAAGAAAGTCAAGTAATTAAAGGAACAGAAAATGCAGTGGTTTTAAATTTGATGACAACTGCAAATATTGTATTGAGATGCTACTGTAATTTCTTTCATTAAAAAAAGTGTGTTTTTAATTTGTTTCTATGAGAGATAATCAATGAATGAAGAGCAAACATGAATAAACATGCCTGCAATAAGACATAGTATCAAAAGGATATTTTTTCCCATGACACTGCTTTAACTACTTTCACTCTTCAGCAATCCTTATTGTTTTAAAAAGTGATGATTAGAATTTGAATAAAACTTAAACATATGATGAAAGTGAATTTATACATTTTTTTGTTCTTGAGAATTTACAACAAAAATATTAAACACTATTTATTAGATTGTTTATTTACAAGAATAATTTTATATTTACAACATTGTAAAAATTAATACAATTAGAACTAATGCAATATTTATCATTTACCAATTTATAAAGAAATAAATACAAAATTTTTTATTCGTAAATTAAACATTTACTAAATTATTAAAATATATGCACTATGAGGAAATCCTTATTATTTACCATTTTATAAAGTTTGAATCAATTGGCAATTAGTCGATGTTTGCCAACCATTCCAATAAATAAACAATCAATTTAATAAATAAATGATGTTTATTATTTTTGTTGTCAATTCTCAAGAACAACAAGGAAAATGTATAAATTTTCTTTTGTATTTTTCAGTTTTATTGCAATTCTAATCATCTTTTGAAAACGATAAATATTGCTGAAGAGAGAAGGTAGTTAAAAAGTGGTGTCATGGGAAAAACTGTCCTTTTGACACTGTCTTATTGCAGGCACATTTATCAATGTTTGCTGAATTAAGTTTACAGATCATGACAGCTATTAGGGAGATGTGATTAAATATACTTTAATATTTAAAAAAAATTTATTCAGTATTATTATTGTTTATGTAATAAGCATTATAACAGTACAAATGAGATAAATTAAAGAAAAATCCTCTGAAGTCTTTTGAAAAGGAGTAGAGGTTTATCCCTTGTTTTCTGTTTAGAGCTGGCTTTCTGGTTCCTTTTAAAGCATTTTCCTTCTTTCACTTCTGGTAGCACCTTGCAATTTAGTGGCATAACCTCCTTGGTTTGGGTGGTGTGCCTCTTACTTTGTAACCCTCTACCTCGAGTGGCTCTTGGCTCTTGTACAGGACAAACATCATTGTAGAAATCCAAAAGCTTAAAAAAAAAAAAAAAGAGTACAATAAATAAATATTTTTTTAGCAGATCATGACAGCTATTAAGGAGATGTGATTAAATCTACTTTAATGTTTAAAAAAATTTATTCAGTATTATTATTATTGTTTAGGTAATAAGCATTTTAACATAGCACAAATAACTCTACTGGAGAAAAAAGAAATTTTCAACAATATACATATTTTTTATGTATTTATGGTTATTTTTTAACTTTTATCAAAAACGACATTCTTATGTAGTTATGGATAATATTATACATTAATTACTAATTTTTTTTAATTAATAACTGTTTGTACTCAGTTGTTGACATTAATAACTATCTGCTGATGTGTTAAAATTTTGGAATAACGCAATAATAAAAATTTTAATTTCATCTCTCTGATAGATGTTGTGGTCTGTTAATATCACTTATAAGTTACAATTCAGATAGAAGTAAAAAGATATAGTTTTTATTTTCTTTTGGCTTTTTTGTTTTCCAATTCACACCTGCCCATAGGAAACTTTTATTGAAAAAGTATTGCCTTTGTTATTTGCCTGTTTATCTGTCTTTTCCACCAAAATGCAGTATTTTGTAATGTTTTGAACTATTTTTTTCTCACAGCCAATTGCAAAGATTTGTAAGCAGGTACGAGCACTGAAGAGAAAACCAGGAGAGACTAAACAAATTTTGATTCACACAGATGCTGCCCAAATTCTGGGTAAAATGGATGTTGATATTAACGACATGCATGTCGATTACCTAACAATTGTGGGTCACAAGGTCAGTCCTTTTTGTTCTTTTTTTTCTTTCTTTATCTTCATAAGTTGGAGAAACTTCATCCTTGTCATCTCTGCTGGCTATTGTTAAAACTCCTAAACTCGTGTAGGACATTTTTTTTAATTAAATCTTACAAGTAGACTTGAGATTACTTACATGCTGGTGATTGTCCTTATCTTTGTTGTTATCATATTATTTCAACCATTGTACCCACTGGCCTTCATCAGGTGTCTGTCGATCTGGATAACCTTCAGAGAATTTTGAACTGAACCATTTATTTAATCTACAGAGATAGAATGATCTTGTTCGAATGCCTGTGTCTAGGAATGTCTTGTCTAATTCTTATTTTATTACTACTCATTTTTTGCTTGCCCAATTTCCACTCAAGTCCAAGTACACACTGTCCAATCCAAGGATTTAACTCACAATCACTGTATCACCAAATTCACAAATCAATGCTTTAATCCACTAGGCCATATCCCTAGACATGAGCAGTGGTATGCAAACAGTCTACCCCAGTATCTACAGTAGATTAAATAAAGGGTTCAGTTCAGAAAGATATACAGCTGGGGAAGGCTGGAGGGCACAATGACCAAAACATTGTGAGAACAACAAAGACGAGGACAATAGTTTGTATATAATTATCCCAAAATTGTAGTTAGAAAATTTGGTCTAATAATCAAGCGCAATGAAACTATTTTGTATGTAAGTAAAGCAGTGTATTCATGCTTTCATCAGCTATTTAACACTCAACCATCAGAATGCACCGAGTATCTTTTGAAATACCAGAGTCGATAGAATATAAACCTCCCATTTACATTTAATATTTGTCTATAATAACATCTTTATCAACCAAGATGCAAACAGTGATTTGAAATAATGCAAGAATATTGACAAATGAAATAAAAGGCTAAATTATATAAAGTGCTACAAACATGCCATCATAACCAAATGTCAAAACCCATCTGAAATTGAAAACATTTCAAAATCTACTAACATCCTTTAAGATAGTGGCATAATGGATATAGGAATTAGTTATACACGTTACTGTCATCTAGTGGTCATGAGTTCAATCCTTGGATCTGGTAGTGATGCACCAATTCATTAGAAATGAATAATAACTGATATCATAGGCTAAATATTACGATAATCATCAGATATCCCATATCAGCCAATCAATGGACACCTGATGATGATCAGAGAGTACTGTGTTGAAACGGTGTATCTATAACAACATATATATTAACCAAGATGAGAACAAGGGTTCAAATAATACAAGAATATAATGAGTATTATGAATTTAGATTTGGGATATTATTATTAGGGGCCTACAGTATCTAAGTGAATATTAACCAACTGGATACTTTAACATAGAAGACCCAGGAGATATCTATTGAGCTATTTTTTTTTTTTTAATTTTCTTTTGCAAGAAAGATTGATGGCATAATATACAATACTTGCAAGATGGAATTGCAGATTCTTCTCTGGATTTTTTTTTTTATAGATTCTTAATAAAATCCCAAGAATGTATAATGTTATTGGTCCTGACCTGGCATCTCAGCTCCAGTTACTTTCCCACTACTGTAACATAGTTTCTCTGTACATTTTCTATAAATACTTTCATGTGGTACCTAGACTTTATAAATTTAAGTGTACTATTAGATTGGCAGCAAGGCTTCATCATTTTACAGTGGAAATGTAACCGTAACTTCTATGCTAACAGTTTCTTCTCTTGCACTTCCCACTTGTGGAACTCTCTTCTGGCTTCTTGCTTCTCTTTCAATTTTGATCTTCAAAAATTTAAATGCAATTAATTTTTTATCTTCTGTCTTTTTAATTCTTATACTATTAAGAAGAGAAGACAATAAATTAATATTTTTTTCTCGTATTCTCTAATGCTCAGCAACTCCTTGTATCTTAGTTCTTTGTCTTGCTTGGCGTGAAATGATTAAAAAAAATACAAAATACACAAAACTGGTGCTGCTCTTAGAAACATGGGTTAAATATTTTTTGTCCTGATATATAACTAACACACCAATATTTATTGCTATGAGGCAAATGACTTGAATATCTATTCAGAATATTTTTGTAAATTGAATCAAATGTGAATCCATAGGAATGGCTGTAATTTTTCTTGTCTTTGTCTTTTAGTTCTATGGTCCTCGTATTGGAGCAGTGTTTGCTCGCAATCCCCGATCTCTAATTCCTCTCTATCCTCTGTTACAAGGCGGTCCTCAAGAACACAATTTCAGGCCAGGGTAAGTAATTTTTTTGACTTGTGTGTGTTATTTGCAGAGATACAACTCTATTTTTTTTGTCTCCAGTCTTATAAGAAATGATACTAGACAAAATTATGTTGGTTGGTTTACATTGTGTTCAGCCTTAATGCAATGAAAAACAGAGGAATTATGCTGTTCACAGTGGTAAAAAATGATCTTGTGACAAAATTGATTACACATTTTTTTCTTTTATAAAACATTTAAGATTTTGGCTAATACTGCTTAAATTTTGCACAAGAATTAGTAATGAAGTTGCTTAAATTTTGTATGCTTGGGTCAAAAACTATAAAAAAGCAATTTCAAATTAACTAAACTAGTAGAATTAGTACAATTGCTTGAATGCAATATAAATGTATTTAGTAACTCTTTTTGTTTCATTTTACATTTTTTTATTTGTCTAAGCCACACCAGCATCAGTAATGGAATGACTTAAAATTTAGTCAAATATGAATTCAGTTGCTTATAAAAAAAATCATGTAATGTGTTTAAAAATTTCTAAGCATCAACTGCAAGAAGACTGAATGCAGGGTTGTTTGCAAAAGGAACAGCCCAACATGCAGATTACAAATTGGAGATACTGAAATCAAATAGGTGCAACAATTTAGATATCTGGGAAGTATATTAACAGAGGACTGAAAGTCAATCAATCAGTTATATACCATGTGTGATCATATATCTTTCAATACATGATTGATGGGGCAGATTTTTTCCTGCAGTAGGTTGCCATTTCTTTTTGTGGTAGACCAGTTGCTATCCAAGCCAACCCTATTTACCCATAACTGGGTGGAGAAGAGGATTCATACCTTTCCCAAGAGTATTAGCACGTAAGTGAATGTAATTGATTTGACTGGAATTTGAACTCCAGGATGGAAATTACTACACGGAAATCTGAAGGTGCATTGTTATAGTGAAAGATGCCTTCCAAAAGCTAAGCAAAATATTAAAAAACAGAAAAATATTGTTAGAAACAAAGAAGAGTACTGAACTGTTATATAGTATCAGTTCTCTTATATGGCAGCAAATACTGAACAATCTCCTCATAGAGACTTGAAGCAACAGAAATATGGTTCTACAGAAGGATGCTGAGAATACCATGGACCAAACGTGAGCAATGATGAAGTTCTTGAGACAATGGCAACAAAAAATACAAGTGTACTTAACTTCAGGAAGAGATAGTTGAAATTTCTGGGGACACATAATGAGGAAAGAGTTCTTGGACAATTTTGTACTTACAGGACAGATTGATGGTGACAGAGGCAGGAAAGCAATGCACAACCCACCTGGTGAGCTTGAGTGAATGGATGGCACAGCAGGATTTTGGAGAGATGGCAAAAAGACAGAAGTTATTAAGAGCTACAAAGAATAGGAAATTGTGGAGAGCCAATGTCCTGAAGGGACACGTCACCTAGAAGAGATTCATATGAGTGAACAATATTTTTGTTTGTCATTTTTATTTACTAAAAATGAATTACTTTAACATTTCGACTGGTTTAGTGGGAAGGATGTTCAATTAATAAATTATTTTTTCTTTCTTTCTCTTTCTCAGTAGTGGAGTTGCTTAAATTTTTGTTTTTACAATTATGTTTACCCTCGCAGTAGAAGGTGTAACCCTAAACAAGGTGATAATGCCGCCAAGGCACAAGGGGCACTGGAAGTGAAAGAGAAGGAAAAGACTTTAGAAGGAACTGGAAACACAATCCTAAACCGGAAACAAAGGATAAACCTCTACTCCTGTTCAAAAGTTGGTATTGATAAAAGATTATACTAAATAGAGAATAAAAGATAATAATAATCTAGATTAACATAAAAATTGGCAAATGTAGACTGCATGGAAATAATTCTGTAATGGAAGAAAGATTTATTCTCCTAATTAAGTTTCTCCTGTTATGTCCCTTATTTTATCCATGATATCATAAAACCAATATTTCATGGAGAGAATGGAATGGCTGAAAGGAAAAATGAATGAAAAACATGCTTGGTTCTCAGAGAGACTTTTATGCTACAAAGACATACACAAAACTATATCTACATATATACATGTGTCCCATGTGGAGAATAATATATTGCATATATCTACACAAGGAGAAACAAAAAGGAAGGATCTTACATATAATATGGAGATATTCCTGTACTTCGAGAAGCCCTTTTTAGGACTCCAGATTCACCTAAATCTCGGACGAGGACATATTCCATAAATGGGAAACAGTGAGTCTTGGGTTTTCCCAAATGGAGGACTGCAAGCTGGAGTTTCATTCTATGTGGAAAAGATATATTCCCAAAGGGAAACAGCACTATGGATTTGTAAGCTGCTGGGGGAGGCAGATTTTGCATCTGCCCATGCCATTGGGTGTTCTAAAGAAACCAACCTTCTCAGTTAGCTGCTGAAAATGAACTGAATTTTGACTGCTGCTTTTCATCATTGTATGGAGTGATGTCATGAAGCATCTGTCGTGTAACCTACATGATTTATCTCCACTGATGAGAGATAAATGACTTTTAAAAAAAAAAAAAAATCATCGAATGTCGTAGGTTGGTCTAGAATGTATATAAGAAGGCATGATTGGGTAGGAAAGATAATCTACTGGGAACTATGCAAGTAACTCTGTTTTAACCATTATAGATGAATGGCATATAGACAAACTAAACTCTCTTCTAGAGACTTAATCAGTTATAGTTCCAATTAAGTATTAAAAAATAACTAACATTCTGATCTTCTTATTACTTAATTTATCCAGGTTTGCAAAGAAAGGATCATGTCCCTTATAAATATGACTTAGAATAAGGAAATGCTCAAGAAAATGAAACTTTTGATAATAATGTAAATAAAAAAAAAACAAAGTTTTATTTCTCTATTGTGTTCTTCAACCTGTCTTGTACAACATAGTTGAAGTGATAATCCTGTTTTTACATAATTTGTAGATTCATTAGCAGTGCATCTTTAGAATAATTTGCATTTTATAGATTGATTAGTCATTTCAAAGAAAGGGAAATGGTCAATACTGTTGTCCTTGGTTTTTCTATTACTTTGACTTCATCGATTGATTACTTTTTATCAGTTTTGATTGACTGTCCTGTTGTATATGGGTTGGTTTTGCTTTCTGATCATTAGACCTGGGTTTGAATTTCACCATGGTTAATTTGTTAGAAAGGTGACCTTAATGTTATCAGCCTGGGAGAGCAATCTCAATGTGCAGCACCTTTGGAAAGTAATTGAAAACAATACCATGGGTTGACCCAAGCCTTGTGAGTGAAATTGGGTAGATGGAACTATTTGGGAGTTGTTGATGGTTGTGTTGGCACAAAATCTCAAGTCATTATGACCAAAGGTTTGATTGTATTGGCCTTGTTCAGACTGTTAATTATGCTAAATAATGCACTCTCTTCTAGAAAATGTAAATTCTGCTCAGCATAATTGTAGTATAAACCACACATGGATTCTGTTAATGTTGAACAATCACAAATGTGCCTGAGCAGGCGTCTGCAACAAGGATTGGCTAACTGACCTAGTTGACGGGCATACTTGGATACGAGCAGCCAGCCATTATTATTATTTATTACATGTTTTCTGTTACCTGTTTTTTCTCCTAGCTTAAGAAATTCCAGTTCTATTTTATTCTCTTGTTTTCAAAAATAATAAATGTAAATTTTGTAAGACTAAATTTCTCAAGTGACAGATTACAATTTCTCTTACATCCTTCATTGTTTTTGGCAGAACTGAAAATACTGGAATGATTGCTGGTCTTGGAATGGTAAGTTTTGTTCAGAATATACTTTTAGACAAAACAATGTCTCTGCTTTTCTGACAAAATATTGCTTATATCAAAGATAATTATTAAAATCCTCCCATTTTGTCTTGGCATTGATTGATTTTTCATTTGAAATTAAAGTTAAGTCCATTTAATGACTTTTGGGAATTTTTATGAGAAATTTCATTGATTTGATCTTTGTTTCTGTTATAAAGACAATTTTAAAACTTGCAATTTGTAATGTGATGAGTTTTACATATAAACATTTTTATTTAAATTAACTTGAAGAGAAAATAATAACATACTGAAGATGTTGACATTCCACACTACTTTAAATAAAATGTTAAGAATGATACTCCGCATCAATACTGGAAAGAGCGATAGCAGCTACTGGATTTGAGAAACCTATTTTCTGGAAAAATTCTTTTAAGAGAAAAGTTTCATAAACTTCAACCAAAACAAGTACTGGCTGCCTGATCAATAAATGGCAAATGTTTCCTTGTAGGGAAATGGATAATATTATTATTATTATCATTTGGTGGAACATATATTAAGACATTTTTTAATACCAGATGAATTAATTGTATTTTAAAATGATGTGTAAGCATGTATTGTATTTTAGTCTTTTTTGTGTATGTTACCAATAAAAGAAAAAATAATCATATAATAATTGTGCATGTTCCTCCCTTTGTTAGTTCACATGATTGTTACACCCTGCCAATACCTCATAAATAATGGCCTATTCTGTTTTTATTGCATGGAAAGACAAAAAAAGATTTGGAAATGTTACATGATTTCAGGGAAAGAAAGATAAAAGTGTTTAACATCTCCTGTGAAATCTTATAAATAATGAATTATTCTGTTTTGATCATGTGAGAAACCAAAAGACATGTCAAAGACACTACTTGGTTTCAGTGAGAAAATGGAAGAAAGAAAGGAAGAGGTTTACTGGCTGTTTCAAGGAAATGGAAAAAGTTGTTAATTTCAAATCTTTTTATTTGTGCTTCCTTACTTCTTAAAATAATGACCAGCATTCTTGTTTATGATTGTTATTGCAATATTTTGCAAAAGTTAAGCTCAAATATTTAACGATGTGATAGGGGAATTTCTAGATATTTTATGGTCATAGAACTTGCCATGAGCTTACTCAATCATTAACTGAAGAATTAGATTCATTAGAAATTTCAAATAGGAAAACTGAAATTTTCATGTCTGGTATATATAAAAAAAAAAATGTCTTGAAATATATTCCTGTAGTACAGTGGTTCTCAAATGATGTGGCGCGCCCCTTAAGTGCAGCACAAGAGGATAGTAGGTAAGGTGGAATGATTAAAAGGCAATCAAAGATTTACAGTATTAAGAAAATCATATGCTAAAAATAAATGATTTTAAAATATTATTATGAATTACTTGTAATTGCAAGCATGAGTCCCAATATAAATAGTTACAAATAATTATTGACCAATTTTATCATTGTGATGTTTTTGCATTATATCAAGTATTATGAATATAGTAAGTAGGTCCCCAAATTGGAGGGGAGAGTTATCAATGATAATGTTCTGACTTTTGAATTCGCGGTTATTTCCCTTTAACCTTATCTCTGTTTTTTATTTTGAAATGTACTTTTTATCACATAAAATTTAGTAAGGCGCAAACAAATTTTCATTCTAAAAATGCAGCCTGGAGAAAACCATTGCTCTAGTTGAACTATGGGCATTGAAAGGTTAAAAATGCTAAAATTTTCCAATTTTTCATTGTTTTAAATTTTCAAAGTGATTTCTATGGTAGAGTGTCAGTTAAACTTTTTGCTTGTTTTAATAAGTCTGCTAGAATTTTGCTAAAAAAAAATTTTTTTTCAATTTCATGCAGTAGTTAACTGTTGCTTGACTTGGTATATCATTCATTTCTTGTGCTGCAAAGTTTTTACATATTTTCCACATGTCTTAATGTTTTTATAGTCTAATTTTATAAATGTTTTTTTGCTCTTAGGCCTGTGCCCTTGTCAAGCAGAATGTGACTGAGTATAATCAGCATATGGAAAACATCCGAGATTACCTGGAAGAAAAGTTGGTGGTGAGTCCTTTTCCTTGGAGACAATGAATTATTTTCTACCTTATGACCCCTTTCCCCACATCTGTGGGGAAAGGGGTCATAAGGTAGAAAAGCCTCTCTTTACTGTATTGTTATTTCCACGGAAAGTGTTCAGATGAGCTACATTCCCTAGTTCCACTAGTTCAGGCCTTTACAGCTATGACTTGCTATATCATATACACAGGGACAAACCATCCTCATTCTCTTTGTAATCCATTGGTAAGGAGGAAGTTCCATGTGGGCAGATTCTTCTCAAGGGCCACTGCTGTGTAGAATGGACACCCAAGAGGATGCTTCTCTGACCACTACAATCTCTTTAAGTCTAGGGTCAACTTGTGCATCCTCATCATCTATATTCTTTATATCCATAAAACAGCCCCCTTCATTAACCCTCTACCTTGTGTGGCTCTTGGGTCTTGTATTGTCAGAAAAAAGAATTAAAAAGTGGAAGAAAAGCTGTTAAATTGATCAACATATTTTTATAGATTTAAAACATAATAGTATTCAAATATAACTTCAGTCAGTGTCAGTATTTGCTAAAGTTAAAGGAGGTATGACGAGCTAAAGGGAAGGCTGTAGAATGAATCTGCCAAAAGGTTGTAATAATAACAAAAATAACAATGATGGCAAAATGTCTGAGTACTGATTTTTGGGAAGCAGGCAGGCCAAGAACTTTTCTCCCTCACTCTTATATCACATGTTAATTGCTGCTGCTTTTTATAACAGCTCTGAGCCAATCTGTGCAGTTTATTAACAATACTTGGATGATGATCCAGGAGTTGCAAAGAATTCCCTGATGATGATCCAAGAGTTGCAAAGAATTCCCCCGGGGTGACGATCTGGGAGTTGCAAAGAATTCCCCCGGGGTGACGATCCGGGATTTGCAAAGAATTCCCCGGTGACGATCCGGGATTTGCAAAAGAATTCCCGGTGACGATCCGGGATTTGCAAAGAATTCCCGGGTGACGATCCGGGATTTGCAAAGAATCCCCCTTGACGATCCGGGATTTTGCAAAGAATCCCCGTGTGACGATCCGGGATTTGCAAAGAATCCCCCCGTGACGATCCGGGATTTGCAAAGAATCCCCCCTCCCGGGTTGACGATCCGGTTTGCAAAGAATCCCCCCGTGAGGATCCGGGATTTGCAAAGAATCCCCCCCGGGGGTGACAATCCGGGATTTGCAAAGAATTCCCCCCCGGGTGACGATCCGGGATTCGCAAAGAAGAATTACGAACAATACATTTTATCTGTAGTTGAAGCCATATGATTCTGTTCAAAATATTTAGATTTCGGCATTAAATAAGCCATAGAGGTTGACATACCGTTAAGCAAAACCAACCAACATTAAAGAACTCTTTCATGACATTAATCCATATAATATCCCACAATTTCTTAAGAAATCAAACTGTATTCCAAAACAAAACTACATCATAAAACATATATCACCACCTTAGTAATCATGTTCACACACAAACATTTATATACACAAAAGATGAGTATCAACTACCATGTATACAGTTGTGAAAGTAGAATAACATATCTTTATATATATTTTTATTACTTCAAAGCTCCCAAGAAAATTAAATTTTGGTATTAAATGACTTATAAGGAGTTGATATACCGTTAAACTAACAAATCAAATCTATGCTCTGGACGAAGCTGATGTTTAAGATAAGCAGCTGTAGAGCAGTTTTTATTTGACATACATTGGAATATATACTTCCTTTACTTGTGCTGCAATCACTTAATTATTTTTCTTTCCACTCTAATCTTCTCTTTACCCTGTGTGAACATTTAAAAATGCCTTCATTTTTTTCTTCTTCTGAAATAGGAAACTTTTGGTGAAGATGGAGTCTGCTTCAATGGTCGGAAATCAGAAGTCTTGCGTTTACCCAATACGTGTAATGTTTCTATTCTTGATGGAAATCTTGAGGGTAAGATATTTCAAACTTAGTTGTCTGCTTTCAAAATGTTATATTTTCTTCAGATCCATTTCTGGTACACCAGGTTAATAATCTAGCTGTTTAACTTTGGAAGTGTATGTTATAATTTATAAAAAAAATTGGCTTTCAAAGGTGTTAAAATTTGCTGTTGGGTTAAAATATGGTGTTTATTTTTTTTTTATTGGAATCTTCAAAGGAATTTTATAGAATGAATACTCTTGAATAAATTGTTATTGGCTTTGTTTAGTGTTAGGTACTGTAAAGGCTTCCTTTTATTTAGAGAGAGTCTATGGAATCCTAACTTAAAACAATTGTCAGAAACTTTCTCATGAATCTTGAATTTCTTTTGTTTCAGGAAGACAAATTTTGGCCCATGTGAAACGGATTCGAGCAAGTGTTGGTGCTGCTTGTCATTCAAGCTCAGAATACAGGTGAGTTGGGAGATAAATATTTGTTCTGATCAGGGCTGGTGCAAGGTTCTTGAGCACACGTCTTTGAATCTATGATACAGTCCCCCTGTATGATACAGGGCTACATCTCCCTTTTCATAAAGTAGTACTGATATAAAATACAAATTTTATCGCAACCTAATTATGTACAATGATGGATTATATGCAATATAGGTGAACAATTCAACTAGAAAAGTTGAAAATAAATACAATGTATCTAAATATAAATTAGAGGCATATCATAATAGATCAATCCGTTTTAAATAAATGAGCAATGTTTTGCAGCAATTTTTAACATCAATTTGAGATTTGTCTCGTTAAAAAGTTGAAATTTTAACACATTCAACATTGTAGATAAAAAATAGTAAAATTTATTTTGTGTCTTTTTGACACAGATTTGGATAAAAAAAAAAAACTAGGAGGATATCAAAATCTGCAAAACATTTTTTATCTCTTAATAGTAAGTTACGTTTAATTTAATTTCTAATGTATATAAGTGTAGGTAGAGAAAAGCGAATTTTAAGATGATGATGGTCACAAAGCACTGCCCCCCCTCTCTCTCTCTATATCTCTATATATATATATATATATATATATATATCCACTAAATAATAATGTTTGAAGTAATAAAAATTTCAGATTCAAAATTTATTAATTCTTTAGAAATTGCTTTGTTCATGTTTTAGATACAAAAAATATCTGAATGCATAAGTGTGCTTTCCTTAAAGAGGAAAATGGAACCTTGCTGAACTGAGATGCTCTCTGTAGCTGAGTAGTAAAGCATGCTGGATCAAATGTTGGTTCCTACCACAATGGTGGACACAGATTAGATCCCAGCCAGAGAGCACATTTTCTTTAAGATTTTTCAAATGTGTAGGCCAATAGACATAATATGCACTGTTTTTAAAATAAAAATAGTCTATTTAAAATACCGCAATACATTATAATAATGTTTGAAGTAATATATTTATATATATATATATATATATATATATATATATATATATCTATCAAGGTGGTAAAAAAAATTGTGCCCCTTTGCTGAATAATGGCTGGAAGAACAAAGTAATTGTGTGTTGGTTTCCCTCAACAAAGGGAGATACCTGTTTGATCCCTGCTAAGGAACGCATTTTCTTTACTAAGGTTTCTCAAATCCATAAACCAACAGATGTAATATGCACTGGTTAATAAATGAAAGTGGGGTGTCTATTTTAAATACAAAGCATACACTATAATAATTTAAATAATAAATATATATTTTGCATACAAGAATTGAAAATGGACCCCATGACAATAATATATTTATATAGACGTCATCTTTTTTTAAATTTAATATCGATGTTTTATTACATATTTCAGATATTTGAAGTACTATGTAATTTGTCTGATTTTATTATTCACAGTGTGCCAGAAATATTGTTAGCATCAGGCATTCCTGAAGACATTGCCAGGAGTTCAATTCGGTTGTCTGTGGGTCGGGAGACAACGCGCAAAGACATTGATGATGCTGTGGAGGACTTAAAAGAGGCAGTTGCAGTGGCAAAATCAAAGAAAACTGATTGAATTTGAAGAATCAAAATTGGATAGCCTTGGAATTTTGACTGGTAATTGTGCTTTTCTGCTCACTGCCAATGTTTCTTCATTTCTCACTGACCATTTTTAATGGCTGTGGGAGCTTGTTTATTGCAAAATGCTGTGAAAGTAAAATCTGTTTTATTTAACCACAGAAATAATGCTGTATTCTCACTCATAGGTGAGCAGCAAAAAAAATACAAAATGGTAAAAAAAGGAAAAATGACAACCTCCAACAACAAAAATCAAAAACCCCAAAAAACCAACAACATGCAAACAGTAAATGAATTCCTTTTTGAAATGTGAGGAAAAAAAAGAGAAAAAAAATATTCCTTTTCTCCTCAAATGAAAGGCATGTTCTTTCCATTCTCTTTGAGTAAATCTTTTGTTAGATCCTGCCTGTTTATACAGAACTTTCTTAGTTCTTAAAGGCTGAGTTGTGTGTTTCTGAATTTTCTAAAAACAAAAAAAATTATTTATATACACACACACACACACACACACACACAAACACACACACACAAACACACACAGGATAATTCAGTGTCTCGGAAAAAAATGTTTCTCAAACTTATGGAATTGTGAAGCACATCTGACTGTAAAGTAAATTAAAAAGAAATCTCTAAGTATGTATTTAGTTGAATCTTTACTTGAGCCCCAAATCTGATTTGGAGGAATAAGTCAGCTTTGATTAACATGTTAATTAGGAAACATCATTTAACTATAATGTTACAGTACTTTACTGCTTCTGCTGGTTACAAATTGTCTTTTTCTTTTTTTTTTTTTTTTTTTTTTTTTTCATAAATCAAATCAGACTGCATCAAGGCTTCTAAGGTTTGACATAACATCTGCCAACATTGTGCATTCATTGAATCTCAAAAGAGACTAACGTAAATCAAATATTTAAAAAATAATATTGCAAAAAGTTACAATAATTCAGAGTAATTATTGACTAATAATCACAGAAATGGCTTACTAATAAAGACTACTGTTGTATGAGGGAACAGTGCCAGAATGATTAAAGGGCCAAAATACCATTCCCTCTCCCTAATTTTTAGCTCTGGAAATAGTGGTAAACCCCAACATTTGGAATAATTGTCCTTCCCTTGACAAAAGAATGATGAGAAGGACTAGGGTTAAGGATAAGATTTTGTTGGGCAAAGGAAGATGTGTAATGGTCAGGTCAGAATTAGCGGATATGAGTTGGTAGGAGTTCAGTAACAGCAGGAGAAATACTGACTCTGGTCAGGTTGAACTAATTGAAAATAGGAGCAGAAGAAAGACGAAAGATTGTACAGTTGTTTGCAATTTTTATGTTTATTCTTTTGAAAGACTTGCCTATCATCGCTAATGTTTCAAGCATGCATTCTTCCAGAGACAGCTGCTGTTTATTATGGTTGTTTTCTGCAAATCATGGAAAGTCTCCTGTATGTATGGCCTTGACCTTATATTAAGCTGGAGCTGTATGATCTGGCTTTATTTTTTGCTTTAAATCTAATTCAGATCTTCCTTGTTGGAAGTCTCTGAGTTTTAAAAAAAGAAAACAGCCAATAAACAGTTTTTGTAGCTTTGTACACTATTTTATTTGATATATAAGCTACATCAGGGCACAAAAATATTCAGATTTCAGTATGCTGTGTTACTTTTTACTTTTGGTTAAGTAATATTGTTTTCAAAGATTTTTAAACACAACTTGTATTGTCACTTTTCTACCTCTAAACATAAAGATGTTATGTCTAATTCAAGAACTCGGCTTTGTCAAATAAATTGATTCTCTGACTTAATTAAATTTTGGAGCTCTTGGTTCATTTTTGAGTTTCCAGGTGCCCCAAATTGTTGTTAAATGATGTGAACAGTTCATTGGTTTCCTTTGAAATAATATATATGGACGCTGAGTAAGAATTGAGTTTTCTGTGATCTTAAAAGTATGTCTCATCGGAAGGGCATTGATAATTTTTAGGCAGTTTGTGTTGGATGTTTATATTGAAGTTCAAGAGTTTCTCTCAATTGTGATCAAACCTTTCTCACATCTGGTTAGTGCATTTGTGAAAACTCTGCTATGCAAGATTGGATATAGGAGTTTGCTAGCAAAGATTCCTGTCTGAGGATTGCGATACATTGCTAAGTGCTGATGTGCCTCTAGGTTTGCTCGTCTGTAGCATGTGAGATGAGTCCACTTACTCCCATGTTGTGCATTTGATTTTCTCTGCCACACAATGCTTCAGAGAAAAAGAAAATTTTGGTAGAAGAGAAAAGCCAAATCATTTGTTGTGCATCGCTGTTGGTCAAAGACTCTGTTTTGGAGCATAGCAAAATTGACATTCACATTAAGTGGCACACAGTATTGTATAAAATGACTGATCCATTTATGATGCTCTTTAAGATTATCCATTGACAAGTGATAAAATGCTTGCTGTCGTTTTTTACCAAGGGGAGTTGGTCTATTGTTGTGAGGACAACAGCATCAACTTCAAAAGCTCAATGATTCCATTATTTCTAGTTCATTCTGTGCAAATTGCAAAAGCAGTCAATGATGATAATTTGGCATCCGCTTAGGCAATGTCGTTACCAGAGTGTTTAGCTAGATTACCTGCACCTGATTTGTGTTATTGGTGTTCCAAACTTCTAAAGATAAATTTCTGTTTACTGAATCAGGAAGTCTGTACTGCTTTGAGCTGGTCAATCATTGCATGCTCTCTCTTGGCTTGTGCTGGCCTTGAGGGGCATTAAAGGCAGCAAGGTTGGGGTGATGCTGTTGGGTGGGAAATGGCTTCAACTTGACAATTGAACAGTGTGGTGTTGCACAGAGGCTAGTCAACACAACTTTGTCAGGAGTTGATCTTATTGTAATGCATTCTGAATTCATGTTCAGTTAAAAGTTGAAAAAAAAATGTGCTCAGTATGATCGAAAAGAAATGCTAGTTGTTAGTGTTGGAATTGAAACTGCTGTAAGGCTTTGCTTTTTAGCTAAAATCATTCATACTATGATTAGTTCCTGAAATGGGTTTAAAGCATGAATTACAGCAACTGGATTTGTGTGTGTGTGTGTATATATAATATATATATATATATATATATATACACACACACACACACACATGCTTAAGGTGGAAGGTGTTTCTCTCGCTATATAAATATGTGTGGGTGTGAGAAAGCTTACTTCTGTGTAATGATAATGTAGCTGTGAAAATTGTACAAGTATCTTCCTCATTTAGGTTTGAATGCACAAAGATGGATGAGGTAGTATATATGTTATTTAGGGAGGATGGGCACATTTTTGTGTGCTAATATATGTGCGTATGTATGCAAGTTTACTTGTGCATCATGATGTGGCTCTGAATATTATTGTTCTAAAATAAACATATATGGAATCATGATATATAATTCTTTTTTATATATCAAGAAGAATTTTAGAGGAAAGAAATATGACAAAATGGAAAAAGTTATTGTGTGATGTGTTTTGTCCTTTTGGACTTCATCAGATTAAGTTTTCGTTTATGTAGATGTGACTACACACGTGTAGGAATGAGACATGCGGAGAATTTTAAATTTAAAAATGATTTTTTTTTTTTTTAATAACAAAATTGATATAAGCATAAACAAAAAGAATCTAAATGGAATATGCTAGATTGTATACCAAAAACATGCAAAATATTTTTAAATTTAAAATTCTCAGCATCTTTTGTTCATACATATGTATAGTCATATCTGCGTAAGCACAAACTTAAACTGATGAAGTCCTAAAGGACGAAACCTGTCACAAAAACTTTTCCCACTTTATTATACTTCTTTTTCCTAAAATATATATATATATATATATATGATAAAATATTGTTTATAAGGTATGCTCTATTTTAGTACCCAATATCAATGACAGAGCGTATCTAAATGACCTGATGATTGTGCTCAAGTATGAGACACACTATATACACGTACACATATATATTTGGGGTGAAGGTTGTTCCCTTCATTATTTTTTTTTCTCTCCTTAGTTGCATACCTCCATCAGTTTCCCTTCTCCTAACTCAATTTCCCTGTATTTTTTTTTTCTCTTCTCAGGGAAATCTTTTGTGTCGTGTGGGGTCTGCATTTTAAGTTCCCTCTTCACTTTGCCTTCGTTTTGAGTTGTCAAGTCTGTTCAACACAAATCCTTTGTTTGCTTTGCATCTCAGCATATACACATTGTCACACATATATAGAACTCCGGGGGGGTGTAAATTTGGTTTCTATGCTTGGGTCACACAATTCAGAAAGTAATGCTTCTTGTGTTGTAAAGACTTCATGTTCAGAGAGTAGTGTCTATTTTTAGCAATCTGATGGTCTTTAGACACATACACACGTTTTTATTTATCTACTTACATCATCACCATCATCATCATTACGACAATTATTATTACTGCTGCTATTTTAAAAATGATTAAAAAAAATAGTAACGATAATAGCTATCATTACTATTTTTTTTAATCATTTTTAAAATATTTTTTCTTTCATTCAAAAATAGTTCTGAGACACACACCTCGGTCTTAAAAAAAATCCTTGCATGGCAAAGGTCTGTTTTAAACAGCAAGATTTGATGAAGATTTGAACTGAGTGCATTGGAAAAAGGAAATATGACAACTCCAATGTGTTCTATATTAATCTCTTCCAAACACATGAGTATACACAAGTATGATTTTTTTTTTTTTTTTTTTTTTAAATAGTTGGAGGTGCAAGTGGCCTAACAGAAAATGGAATTGGCAAGCAGTTCAAATTCCAGCTGAGACAGTTTCTGTTCTCTTTGCACTAATGCCCTTGGGAAAGGCATGAATCCGTCTCTTCTCCCAGTTATGGGTAAAATAACAGGGCAGACTGGGCTCTCCAGCCTTGGTTGGCAACCAGTCTAAGAGAAGGACAACTCTGAATTCAAAACCTTTGCTGACTTGCAGCCATACCTGCACATGAGATGGGAAATAAATCCAGAGCTTGAGTCCCTAGGCAGTATCATACTGTCT